CAAAAACCATGGAACCAAAAAGCATCGTTGGATGCAAAAACTTTTTTTTTCAAACTGGAGCCACGTGCAATCCATTTTCATCACCCATCACATACTGATCATCATCATAATACACCCAACCAACCAACACACACTGTGCAGTAGATATAGCCGCTTAGTAGTTCATGTTTGTCATCATCATCATCATTTTTATTCATATCATCAAACGACGACGACCTTCAATCCCAACAACAACAAAAAACCAAACATGAATTACAAATGAATTTTTAGTGAAAAAAAATTTCAATTTTTACAATTCAAATAACATAACATAACATTTGTACAACTAAAACGATTGAAATTAGCAAAATGAATTGAAGTGGATTCTTGAATTCTTGAAACCTTTTCGAGGAAACCAAAGAGAGAGAAGCAAGTAGAAAACTGTACCACGTGTATAATGAAACGCGTGTTATGAGTGATGCTTGCCACCATCAATGATGTTTTTGCCATCAACATTTACATTCACTTGACCAAAATGATGAATCAAATCAGAAAACCGAAGAGAAAAAACCCGGGAAAAAGAAAATTCCCGGGTAAACCCGGGAATTTTTTGAGTTTTTAGTCAAAAATTCATTATTATAAATCCCGAAAATAAAAACGATGATAATGTTGTTCGATGATGATGATGACAATGATGACGCGTGTGCGAATTTTGAATGAATAACTCGTGTGGCCATTCAACAAAAAAGAAAAAAAATCTTATTTCATTTCCCTAATCATTGATTGAACTACAACAAACAACTAATTCAATGTGTTTTCAGAGAATCAGAATCAGATGTTGATGAGAAAATTCAATTTTCAGCAACCAAAAACCGATATGGTTGTGATAAGCAATCCAGAGCCAGCGAGAGAGAAAAGCATTTTAATTAAAAGCATCAGCAAAAATCAACTACACTGCAGTATTATTCTCATTCGATCGATTCGATTTGATGCATTTTGGTTCTACGAAGGAAGAGAGAGAGAGAGAATCATTTCCGTTTGCTTGTCCATCAAACAGCGAACAATATTGATATCCGATATGTGACATTGAAAAAGGTTTTACCAGGTCATTTCTAAACAAACAAAATGGATATGTCAAAAAAAATAGCGAAAGTGAAAAATGTCCGAAAATGAAAAAAAATGAATCAAGTGTACTTTTTTGATCGAAACGGAATCTATTATCGAAACAGAAAAAGAAACAAAAATTCAAAAGAAAACCCGATCTTTACCGACAAAGATAATAAGCGAACGAAAGAACGAAGAGAGATAATAAAGTTTCAATCAATTAAATCTTATCTTTCCAGAAAAACATTATCGTAGGGCAGGTAGAGGCAGGTGTCGTCACACACTGAAAATTTCAGAAAATTTTTCAAAATTACTAACTTCAAACACACAAAAAAAAGCCGAACCGAAACAAAACTCCAGTGACAAAATTTCTATCACTGTGCTCAAGACCAGTAGACCGAGTGAATCAAGTAGACCAAAAAAATGAAAAACCGAACCAAATTGATCATTGATCGATCATCATCATCGATAAAATAAAAACACAGGTAAAAAAACGACAGAGATAAATCATATTGAGAGAGGAAAATTATGTAGAGAGAGAGAGAAAGAGATCTGTAGCAAGCAGGTAATAATCTTACCTGGCCCAAATTTCCACCGCTTTTTCCATCAAACTACCTGATCAATTTTTTTTCCTTTCTTACCGCGAACTCATATGTCACCAACCTAAATTATCAAAAAAATGGAAAGAAAAAAACTACTTACTTACTTTAAACTTTTCAAAAACTAAACGAAAGCCTATCAGAAAACTGAAATCTTTCTTTTTTATTTTTTTTCCTGCTTTGTTCTCATCCAATCGGTTCTGGGGTCCAAAAAACAGAAGCCCGAAAAAAACTGGGAAAAATTTCTTTTTGAAACCAAACCATTCCTATTGTTATTCAAAAAAAATCTTATTCAAAAATCTAGGTTTCTCTCTTCTCTCATTCACTCACTCACTCAATCAAAATCTTTAAAGATTTATTTTTTTTCATTCATTCATTTTAACTGTGTGTGACAGTTTCCCTAAACTTTTAGTTTTCATTTTTTCGTTTTTTTTTGTGTGACAATGGTGACCTCGATGGTAATACACTAACCATCAACCTGATTTACCTGTGTTTCGTGGCTTACTTTTTTTGTTGTTTTGTTTTCTGGTCCACACAAGATACCAAGCGACTATTTTCACTGACATTGTTTCCCATCACCATTTTTTTTTGTTGTTGTTGGAAAATTTCTTGATCTAGATTTGAAATGAATTTCAAAAAAATGATCCAGGATAACGATTTCTTAAATCTCACGACTTGGTTGCCAAACTTTGTTTTTTTTTTTGGTTGCCCGGTATCATCATCATTATCTATGGAAGGGGGAAAAAACCAGACCAGAAACAAACAAGCATACCAGAAGATGAAAAAAACCAAAACATCATATTTTTTTGAAATACTTTTTGGTTCTGTTTTTGAATTTTGTTGAAAAAAAATTTTGAAAATTCAAAAACAGGAAAAGACACACACACACAGTAGGCTATCTTCATTGATAACTTTCATTTCTCCTCTCACTTACCCCCTTCATTTCTCCCTCTCAAACACACCAACAAAAAAAAACCTCGAAGGAAAAAAAGTTTTTTAAAAACTGAATTTCACTGATCGACCAAAAAGAAACCTTGTGAATGTTTTCTTTTTTCAATTTGTTTCATCATTTCTTCTTCTAAATGTGCATGAAAAATCTCTATATATGGTCTATGTGTGTAGTGATGTAATGGTGATGACAACATTGAACATTGAACGACGAAAAACGAAAATCCAAAACACATTTCGGAAGTAATTCGAAATTGTATGTTTTCTTCTTCTTCTTCGTCGTCGTCGTCGTCGTCGTCAGATATGATATAGCAGTAAAATGGGTAGCTAGCATTACATTTTACCGAAAAAAAAACAAAAAACAAAAACATATTATAGGATCAAAAATTGGCAAGAATCGTTCATCGTCGTTGTCTTCTTCTTCTTCTTCTTGTCGGTTGTCGTAGTCAAAATTCCCCGATGATATGGCGACAGATGATGATACGATGATGATGATGATGATGATGCTCCACCTTGTTCGCCATAAAATCATTCGATTGGAATTTTTATTTCCAGAATTTTTAAGAAACAAAACAAAAAATTCTTCGTCTTAGTATCGTCAATTCAGTTGATGATGATGAAGAAACGGGCCAAGAATTTTTTTCATCGTGGAATAATTGTGGTAGCAGCAGTAGCAGCAGCAGATAGATGGCTTCGTCATTTCAACTAAAAAAAACGAAAAAAAGAAAGAATTTTAGAAATGCATCATCAAAATGTTTTTGCAAAACAACAACAACAACATTTACATAGCATAGAATATTCTTTATTCAATTCTTGTTTGTTGGATGTTTGTCGAAAGATAAAGTGTGAAAATTTGAAATTCTGGTTCCTAGATTTTCTCACTTTCGTTTTTTTTGGCTGAAAAAAACAGTAAAAAAAGGAAAACACAAAGTTTAAGCTGAAAGAAACACAAGGCAAAAAAAAGCAGATTTTTTTTAGATTCAAAATTGAAACAAGAAACTATATCAGATCAACAACAAAGTAAGCAAGTAAGAAGTGAGTTTTTGCTCAAATTTGCTCACCGATTTTAAGCTTTTTTTTTAAAAAAAAGCTTTGATTTGAAATGACAAAACACACATATTGAATTGTAATTTGATCTAATTGTCTGCAAAAAAACGAAAAAGAATTAAGAAAGAAAAAATCAAAACAAAATTTTTGGAAAAAAAATCGAAGGATAAAAACAACAACACGGAATATTCTTTTCATCAAAACATTCGAATCGAATTGAAACAATCGATACAATCGATTGTTTTTTCGTTTTGTCTTAGATAAACATTCGAATGTTTAGAATTCGAATGCATTGAGAAGAATTCGATGAAGCTGACTTCCTTTTTTTCTTCCTAATCATTATTCTTGATTCTTGTAATGTTTTTTTTTGATTAATAATGATTGAATTTTAATGCTTGAACTTAATGATAATCATCATCCGTTTTCCGATATAATAATTGTCAAAAGACGAAATTTTTTGTCAATTATACAATTAGCCCCTGTGCAAATGATTGATGATTTATATTGTCAGAAAATATTTATTGATTTGGATTCGTTTCCTACATTAACGATGATAATGATAATGATTATGGCATAATAATTGCATTTTGGCACAAAAGAATTATTGTTATTCCAAAATAACAATGATGTTAATCGTTTAATTTGGTAATTTTGGGGGGGGACAACAACAACAACAATGAAGAAAAAAATGGAAATAATCAGTCATCATCATCATCGTCACTTAAGGAAAATAATTTTCCAAAATAATTGTTCAAATGAATGAATAAAACGGAAGAAGGAAATTTTCGTTTTGTTTTTTCTTCAATTTTTTTGGCTTCTTCTTCTTCACCCGAGTGTCGAAAATTCATAAAGAATAGAAAAGAAATGACAAAAGATGATAATGAAATTTTAAAAAAGAAAAAATTTCCGGAATATTTGAAAATGAATTTATTATTGGGAAACATTTATTCAAAACAATTAAATTTTTTGATAATAATAATGATGATGATGATCATTTCAATTTCAATTGAAATTTCATAACAATAACAACAATAAATGATATACGGAAATGAATTTTTCAAGATCATGTTGTTTGGGTAATTTTGAAATTTTCAACAAAAATTTAAAAATTTGAAATTTTTCTGATGTTCCATTATCATCCGTGGACTGAGGATGTTTTTTTTATTATAAGGAAACATTTCTGCCATCTATTGAATTTTGTAATAATTGAGTGATTTTTCTATTCCAATTCAACATCGGTCGATCCATTTGAATGGAAATAGAAAAAAATTTTATACGCGTGGATTATCGAATGTTTGTTTTCGAAATTTCATTGGTGGTCAATTTTTTGTGATAATTTTTTTTGATGATTTAAAAAAATGGATCCATCATCATCATCAATAATGGATCGATCAACAAATATTGTTTCCAGATTTATTAGCCAAATTTATTTTGTTACATTATTTTATCTAAATTATTTTCTCCAATTATTACGTTGGCCATTTCGACGTTATGATCAAGATTCCGTTGATCATCCATCAATACGACCATCCAAAGCTATTATCGATAGTTTAATGGGAAATTTTGAAAATGGACGTTTAATCAATGCCAATGAAAGTGTTGAACAAACATTTCAACGTTTAATCGAATCTCGGCAATATGAAACAGCAATGAAATTGGCAAAAAAATTTGATTTACAAATGGATTTATTATGGAAAAATATGTGGCTACAACAACAAAATGAAGAAAAATCCATTCAATTAATTGATGAATGTTTATCAAAAATTAATGATCAAAAATGGATTTTCAATCAATGTATCGAATGTATACCTGAACAATTACCTGTCTTACGTCATTTACTCCAATTTGGTATCGAACGAATTCAAATGATCAATACTTCCACACAATCCACCACCAATGATGATAATGATGATAATTTATTCATGGCTAAAATTGAAAAAACATTAAAATCATATCTAAATCGATTAGATTTATATGAAAAAATATTGAAATCAAAATTTAATAATGAAAATGATTATTGTGATCAATTTGATTGGAAATTTTTTGAAAAATTTCGACAAAAAAATTCATTTCAATTAGCTATTGAACATGCACATCAATCGGATATTGAAACACTGTCGGTATTATTTGCACAAGAATATCAAACGTTAGCTAGGAATTTTTTTGTTATCATATCAAATTTACCGGAAACATTATCACCATCCCAATATAAAGATTTGATTCGGCTGGCTATTTCAACATTGACGGATAAATTTTTTACCGTTTCAAACGATAAGAACGAAGAACAAGATGATTATGAAAAGAATTTCTTTGTAAATAACCCGAATTATTTAAAATTTAAAACAGAAAAATCTATTGACGATGAATTTCTCACCGGTTGGTTTGAATATCGTTCGGAAAATATACTCAATTTGACAATGTTGATTGATAATTCTTTAGAATTATTATCAATTGGTATTGATGATTATAATCTACTGTCGTTGAGAAATCTATACGCTGAATTGGATCTTTATTCATTGTTTGTTTATGATGGTTTTTCCACAACAGCAATGATTTCATTTGAAAAATTTCGTCAATTATCGATTGAAGAAAAAATGAATTTATTATTCAATGATAAAATGAATGATGGTATGATTTTAATTAGAAATTTATTTGAAAAATTTTTTGAAAAAATCACTGAATATTCTCGTCATCATCAGCAAACACAAACGATGAACATAAGTCGAAAAGAATTACTTCGAAAATTTCTCATCAATCTAGTTCATAAAGATTTTGAACAATGTTTAAAAATTTTTGAAACCTATACAATTGTAAATCGTACACCGGATCAATTGAAACAGTTGAAAATCCTTGATGATCCATGTGATCTTATTGAATTAGCATTGGATTGTATTCGTTCATATTCGAAACCAGATGATTTAGATTTAGCATTTAAAATTATGGAATGTTTACCTGAACGTGATCAAGCATCATTGTTGAATAAACAATTAAATCATGGTAAGAATCAAGATCAACAAAACGAATGGCTAGAACGATTTAATCGTATGAATGATGAAGCTGATGATATGGCATATCATCTTTCAATGGTTGAATTTCTGTGTGAAAATTCTACGAGAATTTCTGTTAAAGAATTGATTCGAATTGCAAATGAAGATAAAGCTGATCAACAACAATTGAAATTTATTGAAAAAATTGTAAATAATTTTTGTAAACAACGTTGCTCAACGAGCAACAACAACATTAGTGATCATACAACAATATCAAATGAATGGAAACAATTTTTTGTTAATCTTAAAGATTTAACAAAAAAATATTTCCCATTGATTAATGATGAACAATTATTGGAACAAACTGTTCGATGTTTATTATGGTCAAATAATGAATATTTTATTCAATTAGCATTTAAACATATTGATCATGTGGAATTAAGAAATAATTCAAATTCCAGTGCAAAAAAATTAAATATTGAAAAAGGTCGATCAATTCTGCGATTGGTTATTCAAGATTATATTCGTTATGCTGGACCACAACCAGAAGATGAAATGCTAAAATATGCAAAAATGTGTCTGGATTTTCTACAAACACTCGATCCAAATGATTCGGATACCATTAATCATTTGAATTTTTTGGAAGCAATACAATTATTGAATAAAGAATTTCCAAATAAATTATGGTTACCAATAAGGATTCATAATATCAGTAGACAACAAGAATTATTGGATGCAATTTTATCATCCAGTAATGATGCACATAAAAAAATTGATGAAATTTTAAAAATTATTTCACTTTTAAATCTTTTTAAATCATCAGATGATAATTCCAATGATAATGATGATAATACCGATGATGACGATGAACAAGAAGCACGATTATTGAATAAAATTGGTGAAAAAGCAATTGAAAATTTAGATTATAAAACAGCAAATGATTTAGCAATAAATATTATGGATCGTAATCTTCAATCAGGTTGGCCATTATGTTATCAAATTTGTTGTTTAATTATGAAACGAAATGATGAAGATTCGGAATTTGGATCATCAATAACAATTGATCAACAGCTACGATTATTATCATTTGTATTGGCAAATTGTCCAGATAATAATATCCAGATTCATTATGATTTATTAAATCAATTAAAACACTTAAAACAATTACATTTAAATCATCTGGTTGAACCGAAAATTTATATAAATTTTCATGGCCAACCAACAACAACAACAATAAAAATGAAATGAATTTTTTTCAACGTTTCTTGAAATAACAGCTAATATCTTTGATACCAGTTTTATCCATTTTGATCAACTTTTTCTGTGTTGATGTTAATTTTGGTTTCTAAAATTCAGAAAAATTTATTTTTTATAAGAAAAAACTTTTTACAAAAAAAAAACATTGCAATTTTTTTACCTTGTTTTTATCATTAACTTGCTGTTTCTTTTCTTGAAATTTTTTTGCCGGTGATGATGATAGTGAATCAAGTTTTCGCTTTTTTTATGAAAGAAAAAATAAAAATAAAAATTGTTTTTAAAAAAATTTCACTTAAACAAACCTTATGATGATTGTCCTTGATAATTTCTTCTTTGCCTTGTTGTTGATTGTGGATGTTATCATCATCAATATCGGGGATTCTTTTGTAAATAAGAAAAAAAATTGATTTTAAATTGAATTTTTTTTTTGAATAAATTTTCTTTTTTTTAAAAAAAACATTACCCAAATATTGTACGTAATTCTTTGACATAATCATCAGCAATATAATCGGAAATAATCTGCAAGGCCATCAAATTATATTGAGCTTAATGAAATGAGAGGAAAAAAAACAAAAATTAAAATTTCGAAGATAACAACATTATTATCATCGTCAGGATAAAAAAAACAAGTTTCGAAAAACAAAAATCATCAGATTTTTGTTTTCTCCCATAATCAAAAAGCAAAGCAAAGTCATTTCGTTTTCCACTCCGAACATTGAATTTGAATCCGAAAAACAAGTGAAAAAAGATTCAAAATATGGATAAAATACTTGAATGTCTCCGTTATGGAATACCAATTGATCCATTACCCGATTATAATGGTAAACGTAATGATCAGATTATACATGCACCAAATCGTTTACATGATCTTAATGATAATGACCAACAAAAACAATTAGCATTGAATAATTCATTAAGATATTTCCCGAAACATTTACATTCAATTCTTCGGGATGAATTCCTACAAGAATTAGATAATTATGGTCATATTTATATGTATCGTTTTGTACCAAAATTCCCGTTGAAAGCATATCCAATTCAATATTATCCGGTAAAATGTCAAGATGCAGCAGCCATTATGTTGATGATTATGAATAATTTGGATAAAGAAGTGGCACAATTTCCACATGAATTAGTTTGTTATGGTGGAAATGGTCAAGTTTTTTCCAATTGGTAAGTGTTTTGATTGTTCCGGTTTCTATCAATTCTTTAACCCAAAATTTTCAAAAGGGCACAATTTTGGCTAACAATGAAATACCTGAGCGAAATGGAATCAAATCAAACTTTGGTACTGAGTTCTGGACATCCATTAGGTTTATTTCCAAGTTTACCATCAAGTTCACGTTTAATAATTTCAAATGGAAATATGGTTGCAAATTATTCAAGTAAAGAATTATATAATCATTATTTTGCACTTGGTGTTACAATGTATGGTCAAATGACTGCTGGTAGTTTTTGTTATATTGGACCACAAGGTATTGTTCATGGTACAACAATAACAATTTTAAATGCAGCAAGAAAATATTTAAAAATGGATAATCTTTTGGGAAAAGTTTTCGTATCATCGGGATTGGGTGGAATGAGTGGTGCACAACCAAAAGCAGCTTTAATTGCAGGTTGTATAAGTGTTATTGCAGAAATTTCCAGAGAAGCATTAATGAAACGTAAACAACAAGGTTGGTTAATGGAAGTTGAATCAGATTTGAATAAATTAATCGAACGAATTGAAAAAGCAAGACAATCAAATGAAATTGTTAGTATTGGTTATCATGGAAACGTTGTTGATTTATGGGAAAAATTTGTTGATTATCATCGAAAAACTGGAAAATTATTAGTAGAACTTGGATCGGATCAAACTTCATGTCATTGTCCATATACAGGTGGTTATTATCCAGTTGGATTAAGTTATGATCAGGCTAATAAAATGCTTGCAAATGACCCCGAACAATTTAAAGATTTATGTCAAAAAAGTCTTCGAAGACAAATATCTGCTATAAATTATCTAGCCGAAATGGGAATGTATTTTTGGGATTATGGTAATGCATTTTTATTGGAAGCATATCGTTCTGGTGCCGATCTGAATCCAATGAAAACATCATATGGAATAAGATTTAAATATCCATCATATGTACAGGATATTATGGGTGATGTATTTTCACTTGGTTTTGGACCATTTCGATGGATTTGTACATCAGGTGATCCGAAAGATTTACGAATGACCGATCAACTGGCATTGAATATAATGACAAAATTATCAGAAGATCCAGATCTGGATCAAGAATCACGAAGACATTATGAAGATAATATTAAATGGATTAAGAATGCTGAACAACATCAATTAGTAGTTGGATCACAAGCTAGAATTCTATATTCAAATCATGATGGTCGTGTTGCAATTGCTAAAGCATTTAATCAAGCAATTCGTCAGGGAAAAATTCAACAGCCTATTGTTATTTCACGTGATCATCATGATGTTAGTGGTGCTGATAGTCCATATCGTGAAACATCAAATATTTATGATGGATCATCATATACAGCTGATATGTCAATATTAACCGCTTTTGGTAATGTAACACGTGGTACAACATGGGTTGCATTACATAATGGTGGCGGTGTTGGTTTTGGTGAAGCAGAAAATTGTGGTTTTGGTTTAGTATTGGATGGCCGACAGGAAACTGAAGAAAAAGCAGCGAATATTCTATTCTGGGATGTTTGTAATGGTATTGCTCGACGTAGTTGGAGTGGAAATTCAAATGCATTGAAAACAATCGAAAAAATACAGGAAAAAAATTCAAAAATTCAAATAACAAAAAATTACTTACAATAATCCTGATCACCACCATTGTTGGTCGAAGTTATTGTTGACGGTGTACTTGTAGCCTTATAATTGTTGATTGTAAAACCACCATTATGATTCGAATGAAAACCATTACCAGCTAATGATTTTTTAATTTGTTCAAATTTTAAACATAACCATTTTAAAGTTTTTTCTCGATTAAATCGTATGAAAAGTTCTGATTCGAATGCTTGATTTTTGAGCAAAAAAAATCAATTTTTTATGTGAACATTTTATCGGGTGGAGAAATTAACTTACCTTTTACATCGGCAATACATTTCAATAATTTTTCATTAAATATTTTATTCAATAAATCAATTGTAAACGAATCAAAATTATTATCATTATTATTATCGGCTATAATATCTATTAATGAACAATAATTGTTTGGTTGTTTCGCCTGGAATTTTTCAAATTTCAATAAATAAATTATCAAAAAAAAGTTAAAAAAACAATGAAAATCCAAACCTTTGATTCGATTATCGGAATCATTAAAAATAATGGATCAATCGGTGTCAGAATATAAACATTTCCATCTATAGATTTTCGGGATTATTCTTTTTTTTCAGTTTTTTTTCGAAAATTTCAAATCAATCAATGATTACCTTGAATTAGACGATCATTCCAAAACCATGAATGAAATGAATTTTTTCGCATATTAAGTTCATAAATTTTCTTCTCATCATCACGATAAAAATAATCACAGTCCAATCGATTTTTTGGATGTTTTAATCGGATACGATTAAATTCAGTTGTCGATGAATTTGGTAAAATGAAAATTTTTGACATTTTTCACTTTTGTCCAAGATTTGGATTTGTAAACAAAAAATCCGCGCTAAAAAATCCACCCGGTACATCGAAGCTGTTCATAAACAACGTTTTCGAATGTTATATCGGTTTCATGAATGGTCCAGCAAAAAAAATTCCATGACAAATACATGTGTTCCATTCATTCATTCATTCATTCATTCTTCGTAATTGTAACGTTATTTTCATTGAAAAAAAATGTTGTAATAATTTTCTGCTTGATTTCATTTCATTTTATCTTGTTTTTTTTGAGTGAAAAAAGTATTTTTCCCAACAACAGTTATCAATACAATACTCTCAATACTCTGATTGACTAACTTGGAGTAAAAACCGAATCAAAACATTTGGAAAAAATGTTAGAATCAAACGAATCATTGACACAATATCTGAATCAATGGGCACAAGATGATTCAATTACCAATGTTATCGAACAATTAACAAAGTAAAATTTGATTTTTTCTAAAAAAAAGTATTTCAAACTGAATTAATCATTTTTTCCCCTCGATTAGAATATCCGAATTATTGGAAAAAGAAACGGAAATTTATTTGAAAATGGATCCCGATCCATTGGATGATCGTCATCCAAGTCGAACAAAACCGGCATGTAGTCTAGGACCATTGTTAAAATCTCTATTCAAAAATGATGCTTTTATGGATAAAGTATGATGAAATTTTTAATTTTCTTAAAATTTTTTTTCAATTATTATCGTTTATAAAACATTTAGCTTGTTACCTCGTATCTGTTGAATCGTGATAATCGTGAATTACAAATTGTTGCTTGCCGTTTAACAATCGATATTCTACCCGGTTTGGAAGCATCGGTCGTTTTCAATTTAGAATCTGTATGTGTAATCTGTCAGACAAAATTCATTGACTTATTTCTAAAATTTCACTTTTTCTTTTCATTTCATAAGACTGGATTGATTGATCGACTTTTCATTTGGGCACGTGATGAAGATGAACCACTTCAATCATATGCTACAGGTTTATTGGCTACAGCTATGGATTTATCCGAAATAGCAGCACATTTTAAATCACAAAATGCTGAACTAATACCGATAATGTTAAAAAAACTTAAAACATTAATGGAAGAACGGAGAAAACAAACAAATGAAAATTTTCAACAAACAAATCAAGATTTTCATCTTTTATCACCAAATCATAATCATTCAATTAATCATAATCATTTAGAACCGGCAACAAAAAGACGACGAATATCAAGTCCACTGAATGATTGTTCAAATAGTAGTTGGGCTGAATTGGAATCCTATGTAATTGGTTCATCAAAAGTTTATCCATTAACCAATGAAATAAGTCAACGTTTTATTTATCAATATCTTTCATCAATTGGTAGTTATCAAGAATTTTTAAGCAATGTTTATGAATATAATGTATTGGCAATGATATTGGAAAATATTGATTTGAATCAAAATCCCGATGTACGATTGGCATTCGAATCATTAAGATATTTATCATCATTAATTTGTCATAAAAAATTTGCCCTTGAATTTGGTAACAATGATGGTATTCAACGATTATTAAAAGTTTATAAACAATCATTAGCTGCTTGTGGTGTTTCACTTTGTCTTTCTAATATTGCCTATCATGAAGATGTTATGGAAAAGGTAAATTGTTATTTTTGATTTGAATTGAATTCTTATTTTCAATTTTTTTTCTAAAAATTTTTGCTATAGATTTGTTCACTGCCATATGAAATTCGTTATGAATTAGTTTCCTATGCCCTTTATCTAATTGAACGTTCACATGATTCAAGTCGTACAAATGCTATGATTTTTCTTAGTTTAGCATTTTCCTATCAAGAAATTGTTGAACTATTTGATAAACAAGATGGTTTAAGAAAAATTATTAATGAAGTATGTGTTAATTATATATTCATAGAAAGGGTTTTTTAATTTAATTTAATTTTTTCTCAGATTTCAATGATTGATCTATTCTCAAAAGATATTATCTATTCGGATGAAGAAATCTTTACTAAACGTCAATATGCAAAACATATTTGTTTTGCAATGAAACGTTATTTTGAAACACATCTAATATTGAAAGCACAATCATTAATGCAAATATGTTTGAAAAATTCTTCCAATAGCAACAGCAGCAGCAACAACATTAATAATGAATATTATCAAAATTATTCACGTTTGATTAATATACAATTTCCATCGAAAAAACCAATCAATTATGATTATGATTTAATAATGGAATATGTTGATGCAATGTTATCATTTATGCCATTACGTTTACAATGGGAACCAGTTGAAAAATTAATCAAATATGGTGGTGCCAAATTATTAATGCAATATATTAGTATGTCATATGATTGGAATTTTACCGGAAAGTAAGTCGATGATTTTGTTTTTGAAAATTCTTTTTAAAACATTGACGATTGATTTTTTCCCTCCTTCAATCAATTTAAAAAACCAGATCTGATGCTGTCCGTAGTGCATTAGATATTCTAGTTATTTGTACAGTAATGCCAAAATTTCAATTAATCCTTACCGAATCGATACCATTCGATGATGGACATCCTGTTGTTAGTATGCGTATAATTTTATCAGCTGCATCCGGTGAATTGATCAATGATCCTGATTGTCAACGTTCAGCATTGAATATTATTGTCAATTGTGTTTGTGGTCCAATAAATCGTCTGATGATAAATAATTCGATCAATACGGCAACAACAAAAGCATCATCATCATCATCATTAGGTAGTGCAAGTAAGAAAAAATTAATCCGTTATGGTGAAGATATCTTAAATAAACTATGGAATTGTGTTCGTTTTAATAATGGTATTATGTTATTGATTAATTTATTGGTAACAAAAACACCGATTACTGATGCTGATTCAATACGAAAATTAAGTTGTAAAGCATTATGTGGATTAGCTCGTAGTGAAAATGTACGACAAGTTATATGTAAATTACCATTGTTTACTGATGGACAGATTCAAGGTATGTGTTTTTTGTATTTTTCTTGAGATTCAAATCTTTTGATGACAATCTTATTCTTTCTTTTTGTTAGCATTAATGAAAGAACCAATTTTACAGGATAAACGAGCTGAACATTTAAAATTTTGTAAATATTGTATTGAATTGATTGAAAGAATTACTGGTACACCGGTTACCGATACAATGGAAACATCATTAGGAAATTTAAACAAAGCTGAAGTGATTACACAAACGAAAATTGTTTACAATGAAAAAGAATTATTGAAATTGATTCATAATCATTTGATTGCAAAAGGTTTACGTAAAACAGCACAAATATTATCAGATGAAGCTGATTTATCCGATACAACAACAAATAATCAGATAAAAAATCAATTGAAATTTTCAACACCACCAAAAACATTTACACCAAGAGTGGTAAGTTGAAGTTTTGGAGAGAAAAAAATGAATTTACTGATGATAATTATTTTTCTCTTGCAATCCACTTATAGTCAAGACAAATATCAGCAGTAGCATCTGCAACATCAAATTCATCACAAAATTCTATAAGTAAAATATCTTCCGATGATATAGTCGAAACATCAACCAATACCGGTATACCGATTCGAATTAATCGTACAAATAGAAATAGATTGAATACCAGTATCAATAGTAATAATCAAATTCGTCGAAATTCTTTAAATACACCGATTAAAAAAGAAAAATTATCAATTCAATCACAACAACAACCGCAACAACAACAACAATCATCATCAAATACAACAATATCATTAGATTCGATTGTTATTGAATATCTACGTAAACAACATGCATTATGTAAAAATCCAGTGTTAACATGTCCACCGTTTGATTTGTTTAAACCACATCGTTGTCCTGAACCACGTGAACGTAATGTTGCACCATTCAATATTGCTGCACGTATGATACGTCGTGAATATTATCCACCAAATGGTGGATGTTATGGTTCGAAAATGAATCGTAAATATATTTATAGCCGTTTTCGTTCTTGTCGTTATATTCGTTGTATTGAACCGACCGTATTTTTAGATTGTGCTTTTGCTGTAAGTTTATTTTACCCCTTTTTTCAAAAATTTTTAAAGATTGATTTATCCATTTCAGCATAATACTGATTTAATTTATGCCGGTAATGAAAATGGTGAATTACATGTATTCAATTCGAATGGTACTATTGAAAATACCTATGTTTGTTATGATACTCCTATATCTTATGTTGAACCTTCAAGGGTAAGGATTTTTTTATCTGATTGATGATTTCGGTGATAATTTTTGTTTTCCAACTTTTTTTTTTTTGATAATCCAGGATAGTCGATTAATATTGACCACAACTATTTGGGATCAACAAAGTGCTATACTATGGTCAATTAATGATAATAATTTTGAAGAAAAGTAATTTTTTTTTTAATCTTAATCTTGTTTTGATGATATGAATTGTTTTTTTTATACAGAATGTCATTTCCAAATGATGCTCATGTAGAATTTGGTAAATCAACACAGGATAAAGTTTTAGGCACACATGATTATGCAGCTCATGTAAGCTTTCAGTTCATTTTTTGGTTTTCTCAAAAAAAATTAATTTCGTTTTTTTTTCCAAAATTCCAATAGTTATATGATTTAAATAGTTCACAATTAATACGAACATTTGAAGATGATAATTTTTCAAATAAATATAATCGTAATATTGCTACATTTCATCCGGATGATTATCTTATACTAAATGATGGTGTTCTTTGGGATGTTCGTAAAGATTCACCCGTACATAAATTTGATAAATTTAATGAAACAATTAATGGTGTATTTCATCCAAGTGGACAGGAAATTATATCCAGTTCGGAGATTGTAAGTTTTTTTTTGTTTTTGATTGTTCTTTTTTTTGGATAAAATTATGATTTTCGTTTTTCTTTAGTGGGATATAAAAACATTCAAATTGCTCAAAACAGTTACGGCATTATCGGATAGTCATGTAAAATTTAGTAAACGTGGTGATGTTATATTCGCTTTATATGATGATGATGAAAATGAACATTTTCATGATAAAACACATCAATCATCATTTCGTACATTTGATGGTTATGATTATTCACCAATAGCAACAATCGATGTTAAACGTTCAATCAATTCATTAGCAATTGATTCAAATGATCGTTTAATAGCATTGATTGAAAATGAAACAAATTTTTCTGATAGTGTTATACGATTATATGAAATTGGATTGAAACGTGAAGAAGATGATGAAGAAAGAACTGATGATGAAGATGAAGATGATGATGCTTCCGATGGTGATACTTATACTGATAATGGTAGTGATGATGACGATGATGACGACGATGATGATGGTGGAATGGATGATGAAGAAGATTCATTTGGTGATTCGGATGATACTTCATTTCATTCAAGAAGTTTTCTTGATAGTCGAGATTCAAGCGATTATAGTGATGATTTTAATGATACCAGTAATGATGATGATGATGAAGATGAAGATGGTGTATTCTATCAACTTTCAATGTGATTAATTTGTTCATTTTTTTATTATTAAAAAAAACTTTAATTCAAAATCAAATAAAAATTAAAATTTAATTATGCACTGTTTTTTTCTTTTTTTCTCCCAAAAATTATCATTATCTATCCGGAATGATAATCAAAAATTTAAAATTTAAAAAAAATGATAAAAATATTTACAACAAATTCAATAATTAATGTAGTAATGTGGGTGGTATGGGTGGATATGATAAAGTTGACAAAAGAAAACCATTGATTCCATGCAAATTCAAATTCAATTGCCAAAATTATCTTTTTTATATCGTTCTTTAATATCTTTTATACAGGTTGGACAAAACCAGCTACCATCCGGTGGTACTTTAATACCCACACAATCATAATGAAACCATTGATATGGACACTGTAATTAGAAAAAAAAGTGAAGGAATTATTAATCATATCATCAAGAAATATAAATATTTTTCAAATTACCTCTTTGTTTTCACAGAAAATCATTTCACCATATGAAACAGAATTACAATAACAATAACGTGGTTCATTCATACTATAATCATTATTAGCTGCATCGGATGACCCTGGATCTGAACTATTATTATTTGTTGAATCAAGATTAAATTGATTATTACTAGTACGATTTCGTTTAATACGTGAACGTTTTGGTTCACCACCCGATTGATCACCACCAATACGTTCATCATCCGAACGATTCGTATTAAATTGATAAAAATTTGATAAACCAGAATTTGAATTGATAGCTTCATAACTTGCTTTTAAACTTGCCGTTTTTCTACCAACAGTATTTGATTGTGATGTTTGTACGATAGCTTGTGATGCAATTGCAGCTATTGCATTTGAACCGGATAAATTCATTTTTGTATTTAAATTATTATTATTATAATTTGATATGGTTTTATCCGATGTTTTTGCATTCCAATTTGAAAGATTTAAATTATTATTATCAAATGATGATTGTGTTGATGACATGTTTGCCATTGAATTTCTCAACTGTTTCGATACATTATAACCATTCAATGTACGTTGATCATTTAAATTTTTATCATTATTATTATTATATTTGCCACTTCCTGCATTCGATACTAATGATGAATGTTTACGTTTTTCACCTCTTCCCGAATTGGTTGATGTTACCATATCGGATTCAGAGATACCTGTTTGTGAAACATAACATTGAATTTTTATTTTAATCAAAAAGGAAACAAAACAAAAAAACCATACGTTTTTCCAATCGTTCAGTAATACCGGCATTATCGGCTTCTAATTCTAATTTAAATTTTTGTAATTCAACTTCTAATCGACGATAATATTTATCAATCAATTCACTTAGTTGAATTGATATGGATACTTTTTCCAATGAATATTCGATGATCTTTTCAAAATCCTTGAATTTTTTTTTTGATTGGAAAAAAATAATCATCAAAAAAAAAGTCTATGAATTTCAAAATACACACCTGTTTCAAACGTAAATATTCTTGTTCAATAATTTCTTCGGGTAGATCAGCTGTACGTGGATTGAAAAAATGTCGTTGATTTTCTTCATGTTTATCTTTTTCATCTGCCGAAATTTTTCATTTTTAAAAATTGACGTTAATGGTTAATTAATTGAACTTACTGTTGACTAGAAGATCCAATTCTCTCATTTCAGTAAATCTATCACGTAATTCTTGTGGTAGATTTTCAATAACTAATTTTTGAATTAAAAATTTTTTTAAACTAATTTATAATTTTTCAAAATCAATTTTTAAAAAACATACTTTCAAGATAATCTTCAAGATAAAGCATCTTTTATTTTTATTTTTTCTAATTAAATGGATAAAAATATGATTAGTAACAAATGATGATAATAGAGGGCGGTTTTCGTAACGTCACTCAACAATAACATTGAGCCAAATGACAATGAAAAACAACAAAAACAATGAATTCCGATGAGCAGAATTTTTTACGGTCAAATTTCGAATGAAAAAAAACAAATTTTTCTCAAGAATTTTATTTACGCAAAATAATTAATTTAAATGATTTTAAAATTTTGTTTGAAATAAAAATCAAATTAAAAAATGTTTTGTTTTGTTCAACAAAACAAAACAAAAAAAGAGAGGAAAAAGATCCCAACCAACAAAAAAAATTACAGCATGCTGTCAATGGTGATGAGCGACGACAAGCAAAATGTTACGAACGAGCAAACAAACGAACGTGTATAATGCCACTCCGTTTTGAGAATCGTGTATGGTCACAATTCTTCCAGAAAAAAAAATTGAAATGAAAATTACGTTCAATAGTAGAAGCATAGAATATTGTTGATGATAGTGGTATTTGAAATAGTTAGGACAACTTAGATATGGGAATAATACGCGCGCGTTTTTTTTTGTGGCCACATCAAACACTGCCATCTATGATCGAATTGTTTGATCAATTTTTCACTGATTGCCTTGTGTCAATCAACTCAATTTTCGTTTTTTGATTTTTTTGTTTTTTAATAAAAACAAAATCAGATTTTGATTCTTTTTTTTTAAATAACTTTTTTACTCAATCCATCACAATCCACTAATCAATAATGCCAACAACAAATATATCACTTTACCTGGAAAGTATACGTTCATCAAAAGCGCCATATTATTGTCCATTTCAAAATTGTGGTAAAAGTTTTCGAAAAATTGATGCAATTAAAATGCATCTAAATAATATTGATCATGCAGAAATTTCACCAACATCCAAAACAACAACGACAACGACATTTTCATCGACAGGTCGACGAATAACACCGACAACTGTTGCCGTAATGAATTTGAATGATAAACGTTCGACATCGAAAAATTCGAATTCGAATAATGATGATGAAAAAAAGATTCGAATGATACAATTTAAATATAAATGTCAATTGATAACAATACCAGCTGATATTGAAATGAATATGAGAATTGTATCCGCTCCGATTGCTAAAATTAGTGAAAATTTAGAAAATTCTGGACAAGATGAGAAAAAATTTGTGAAAAATCGTAAATGGAAAAATAAATCTTTGTGTAAATCAACAACAACACCGACAACAACAATGATAACAACAAATGTAAAATTACCTGAACCATCATATCGATTATTAAATTCATCGGAAAATGATTATAAAGAACCACCCGATTCATTAGCTGCTTATTATAGATTTTTGGATGATTCAATTGAAGAAGAAGATCAAATGAAAGTTGAATATGATATGGATGAAGAAGATGCTATTTGGCTAGAAATGATTAATAAAAAAAGACGTGAAGATCGACTGTTGGATGTTAATGTTGAAACATTTGAATTAATAATGGATCGTTTTGAAAAAGAATCATTTTTTCAAAGTCAAAATTTTGGTGCCGATATTAGTTCGGCAATTGATGAAGATGCTGTTTGTTCGATTTGTTTTGATGGTGAATGTCATAATTCGAATGCAATATTATTTTGCGATATGTGTAATATTGCTGTACATCAAGAATGTTATGGTGTACCATATATACCGGAAGGTTTATGGTTATGTCGTCGTTGTCTGCGATCACCATCAACCGCTGTTGATTGTGTTTTATGTCCAAATAAAGGTGGTGCATTCAAACATACGGATGATAATCGTTGGGCACATGTTTTATGTGCATTATGGATACCTGAAGTTGGTTTTGCTAATAATGTTTTCTTGGAGCCGGTGGATAGTATTAATGCAATACCACCGGCACGATGGAAATTATTCTGTTCAATTTGTCATAAGAAAAATGTTGGTGCCTGTATACAATGTTATAAAAGTAATTGTTATGTTGCATTTCATGTTACATGTGCTGTACAGGCTGGTTTATATATGAAAATAATACCGGTTAATGAAATAACCAGACAAGGAAATTCAATAATAACCATTAAGAAATTTGCCTATTGTCTTAATCATGCACCAATCACCAAAAATGGTGGATCAAATGGTGGTCTTTATCTGAGTGGTGATGAAGATAGCCGTAGTGAAACTACAATCAATTCAAATTCAAAGAAAAATAAATCAAAAAACAACAATAGAAAATTAATGACAGATAAACGAACATCAACATCGGTCATATCGATACCAACCATACCGACGGAACGTTTATCAAAAATTTCCGAATTGGTTTCATTTCCACGCCGTAATGAATTTATGCAACGTTTATATGCATATTGGAAATTGAAAAGACAATCACGTAATGGTATGTCATTATTACGACGGTTACAATATACAAATTCAACAATGAGAATTGATGATATGATTAAGGAAAAATCATCAAAACGTGATTATTTAAAAATGAAAAATCAATATAAAAAATTATTACAATTACGTCGAGATTTGGAACGTTCACGATTATTATTGGAATTGGTACGAAAACGTGAACGTATTAAATGGAAAATTATTCGTGAAACACGGTCATATTTTACTTATAAATTAATTCCATATAAAATGTTTCTGCTACATTTGTTGGACAAAATAGTTGAAAAAGATGTTAATCAATTTTTCGTCGAACCTGTCAATGTTGAAGATGTTCCTGATTATTGTGATTATATTAAAAATCCAATGGATCTTGGAACGATGCGTACAAAAATTGAACAAAATCAATATGAAGATTTTCAGAATTTTATCGAAGATTTAAATTTAATTATCAATAATTGTACATTTTATAATGAAAAAGATACTATTTGGCATAAAGCAGCTTTAAAATTAAAAATACATATCGATAATATTATTGATGATAATCGTAAATATCTTTTAAATTATGATACAAAAACTGGATTACATTCAATGTCATTGATCGATGATGATAATAATGATCAGGTAAGTTAACATAATCTTTGATGCAGGGTGAATGAATTTAATTTTTCGGTTTTTCGTTAGCAAAATGATGAAGAAATTGATCCAGATGTTACACTGAAAGATGAAACATCATCATTATCATGATGATGATTTTTTCTTTTTCCTTTTTTTCAAAATATTGGTCATTTCATCATCGGATACGTCTGCTTCATCTTTGGCCGTTTTTTTAATCGTTTCATCATCACCATTCTCATCATCATTATTATTATCTTGATTTTGTTTTCTTTTTATACGCATCAATTGTTCAATTTCAGGATTCATACCTTTAAATGACATACGACCATATTCTAAATTTTCACAAAAAATAAAACTATTTGTTGCAAGAAATTTATCCTCTTCTTTTTGACATAATTCCATTAATTCTTGTTGCCGGGTGGTTTGTTTTTCTTGCTGTCGTTGTTGTTCAGCTTTTTCAGCATTTTCATAATTTTCTTTACTTCGTTGCATAAATTTCATTTGAAGTAAATTTTTCGATAATCCAGTACTATTTCGTTTCATTTTTAAAAATTATTTAAAAAAAATTTCAAAATAAAAAAAGATTTAATAAAATTGAAAAAAAATCTCGCGTGTTTTTTTTCTGTTTTGTTTGTAAATGGTGGTAGCGGCTATTTAAACCTTTTCGAACATTTCGGTGTTAAAATTGATTGAATTTAAAAATACAAATTGAATTTTAAAAGAAGGAAATATAAAAATCACATTAAAAATCGAGAAAATTTAAAAATCGAAATTTTAATTTTCATTAACAATAGTAATCAATTCTTTTAATTGATCATGTTTTTTCAATTCGTCGGGTAATTTATTAAGTTTGTCGATAATGATGGCAATAAAATTATCCAATGTTTTGATTTCATTTAATGAACGGCGATAATTTTCTTCCAATACGGCACGATTACGGGCAAATTTTTCATTCAATTTTTCCAACTGATCTTCTTTCATGCGTAATTTTTCCAATATTTTAACATTTTCCAGCTTTAAATCGATTTGTTCGCCAGACATCGAACCATCATTATTGTTGGATAATAATTTTTTCAATTCATCAATTTCAATTTTTAAACATTGAATATTTTCTTTTAACATTGTATTTTCTTTGATGAGATCGGCAATTTTCATTTTCAAATCTTGATTGTTATTTGTCGTATTTGAATTACTGTTATTATTAAGGATATCACTATTTTGCTGTTGTGCTGTAGAAGGTTTTATTGTTGATGGCAATAATTTAATAAATTTTTCGGTAATTTCCAATTTTTTCGCAAACGATTCCGTATTATTTATGGAACATTTACGAAAATCATCAATCAATGATGATAAATCTGAATCCGTTGTATTTTCCGTACAATTTACATATGAATCGATAACAATATTTAAAAATTTATCCACTGAATCTATTTGTTGAGTATAAGATTCAATTTCGGATCTGAATGTGCGGAAAAACAGAATGAAAATTTTCAAAAAAATTGATATAAAAACAAATATCATTTACTCACAATGTTTGTTTATGTTTATCATTCAAATGTTTTGACCAAACAACCACCTCTTCATATTTCTTTTTCTCTTCAATCCATTCACGTTTTTCATTGAATGAACGTTCTTCAATATCCTTAAGTACAGTGTTTTCCGATGTAACAAAATCTAATGTTTCACGTAATTCTTTATTTTCATTTTCTAATTCTTTTATTCGAGCAGCTGAAAAGAAAAAATTATCAGAATTTATTCGGTGAAAACAACAAGAAAAAAACATTACCTTTTTCATAATCTTTATTCAAAATGGCCAACAATTCTTTATGACGAATTTCGAATGTTTTTATATTTGAAATTAATTGTTCACGTTCAGCATTTAATGTTTTATTTAATAATTTTTCCTGTTCTAATTCTTGTCGTAATTGTTCATCGTCTGTTTTTGTATTATCATTCGAATGTTGTTGATGATGGCCAGCTGTTTGCTGTTGTTTTGATTTTATCTGCAATTCACGATATGATTGCCATAAACGACCATGTTGTAATTGTAATCGTTGTAAATCACGATAATATTTTTGTAAATATAATCCATATACATTTGTTATCTGTTGTTGTTGTTGTTGTTCATTATCTTCTTGTCGATCCATTTTGGTTTTCACTCTTTAATTCGTAAATCTCGAATTTTGAAATTATCATTGAACGAATCACCATATGAAAAAATCATGGGAGAAAGTATACGCCGATATAAAACGCGCGGTCATCGACTCGATCAAATCTTGTTCATACGCTGCAAGTATTTCCATTGTTTTTTCGTTCGATTCTGTGTTTTCTATGAAATTCTGGGATTTTTTTCGTATTCTTTTTTTTTAGTTTTGAAAAAATCTTTTTTTGAAATAATCAAAAACAATGACAACGACGATACAGAATTGGAAAAATCATGTTGAAAAACTTTATCTGGATATTTTAAAAAATAAACATAATAATCATAATAAAACGGTTGAGGTTTGTTCGATTCGATTTTTTTTTGCCATAAATTTTTGATTTTTTCAATTCGATCAAATTCAGGGATTGGTGAAAAATAACTTACAACAATTATTCAAAAATAAATTGGTCAAAGCTGTTCAGAAATTGAATGTTGATAATGAAGATGATAAACTGCCGATCATATTCGATGATGTTCACCCGAGAATTGAGGTTTGACGAGTTTTTTCTGTTTTTCATTTTAAAATGATTATTTTTTTTAGCATAAAATTGTCGACAGTTTTAATCCATCACAATCGTTTATTATACCAAAATATTATCTAAAAGATTGTCCACAAACACCATTAATGTAATTATGATTTTTTGTTTTAATTTTGTTTAATTTCATAAATTTTCAATCAATTTCATAAGGCATGTTTGGGCACCGGTTATGAAAAATGTTCATATCGATGATGAAACAACATTACATCATATACCATATCTTGGTGATAATATTCTAAAAAAAGAAGATAATTTTATTGAAGAATTATTAACCAATTATGATGGAAAAATTCATACGGAAAAAGAAAATTTTACCGATGAAATTCTTGTCGAATTAATCGATAAACTCAGTCCATCTATACCGGTGGATCAAAATGTTTACGAAATTATTTCGAATGTTTTTGCTGATCGAGGTACAACCGATAATATTCGACAACGTTATAATGAATATCGTTCGAAAAAACCCGATCCACCAATGGAAACACCACCAAATATTGATAGCGATCTGGGTAAAGTTTATTCATTCGATAAAATTATGCATTCATATACAAATCTTTATTGTCGTCGTTGTCATACATATGATTGTACTGATCATAGTAAGTTTCAAGTTCTTTGATTCGAATGTCTTTAATCTTTTCGCTCACCATTTTTTCCCAATCAAAAAAAAGCATTTTATAATGTAAAATTTCGTAACAAAAATGAAGGACGTATAAAAAAACAGAATCCTTGTGGTAAAGATTGTTATCTAAATCTGGTAAGCTTGGTTATTGTTGATGTTCTGAATTTATTTCTTATTTTGATTCAATTTCCTAAAAGGAAAATCTATCCAACGATTCTGGTGATGATCAAGATCTACCACGGATAAAATCAACAATATTAGATCAAATAAAATTTGATCAATGGAATAATTTGGATAAAACATTATTCAATGTTTCGATAAAATCATATTATAATAATTTTTGTAATATTGCAACATTATTATTGAAACCATGTATCGAAATTTATGCCTATTCCGAACATATAAAAAATGATATTGAAAATGATGATGGTAATAATAACCCATATGAAGATATGCGTAATAAAAAGAAAAAAAAGAAACCAAATAAATGGTCAGCACATTGTAAAAAATTACAATTGAAAGATTCATCATCAAAAACATTGATCAATTATACACCATGTGAACATGTTGATTCAAAATGTGATCAATCTTGTTCTTGTGTACGTAATAAATTAATTTGTGAAAAATATTGTGCTTGTAGTAAAGATTGTCCGGAACGTTTCCCCGGTTGTCGGTGTAAAGCACAATGTAATACCAAACAATGTCCATGTTATTCAGCTGTACGTGAATGTGATCCTGATATTTGTGGTACTTGTGGTGCTGGTAAGTTTTTCCAAATTGATTTATTGATTTCATTTTTGATTTTTTCGTCTGTTTTATTTTTGAATCAAATAGATCAATCAGATTTACAAAATGTACGATGTAAAAATATTGCCATACAACGTGGTATGAAAAAGAAATTAATACTTGGTGTATCGGATATTGCCGGATGGGGAATATTTTTGAATGATGTTGCCGAAAAAAATGATTTCATTTCGGAATATTGTGGTGAAATGATTTCACAGGATGAAGCCGATCGTAGGGGTAAAATTTATGATAATAATCGTTCAAGTTTTCTATTCAATCTAAATAATGGTAATGTTATTGTTATTGCACAAAAATATCAACCAAAATATTTATTAATGTTTTTTCTTCGATCACAGATTATGTAATTGATGCAAAACGTAAAGGAAACAAGATTCGTTTTGCTAATCATTCAATCAATCCAAATTGTTATGCAAAAGTAATGATGGTTAATGGTGAACATCGTATAGGAATATTTGCTAAACGAAAAATAAAAAAATTTGAAGAATTATTTTTCGATTATCGTTATGGACCAAATGATCAGCTAAAATTTGTACGAATTGAACGTGATCAATAACTTATTGATAATCAAATGACAATTTTTTCCAACGATTCTAAATTTTTCCTATCATTATCATTTGTTTTTTTACTAAAATTTTCATTCAATAAAATTTTTTTTAAAATTTTCTTCAAACATTCAAAATCATGTTGTTGTTGCAGAAATTTATTCGAATTTGATGAACGAAATAATCGATTATCAATACTGTTTCGAATGATTTCCAAAAAATATTGACGATTCATACCAAAATGAATGGTTAGAATTTTATCACAAAGTTCATTCCATTCTTCATCATCGTCGTTCATGTCAACTTTTAGATCTTTAATTTCATTCTGGACATCGTTTAATGCATTCAATAAATTGTTGAAAATTCTTTCCAAATTACATGCATTAAACCAATTATGATTGATCGAAATTGTATTGGTTAAATTTTCAACTTGATGCAAGTAACCACTTGGTACAAATATTATTTCACCTGCTTGTTGCATTACTTCGAATCCCTGAACTTTTTCTAAAATTTCCCGATAGTTTGGTAATATCTGAAGATCATGCGGTAATTCATCCGAACCGATTAATTGTTTTAATCGATCAATTGAATAATCAGGAATCATTATCCATCGTTTTGTTCCTATTATATTCGATGACCAACTAAACGACCCGAAAACATCAATATGTAATGGTGTTCGAGAACCGGTTGGTCCCATATAAACAAATTTAAAATCAGTAATTTGTTTATCCCGACAATATTCATTTAGATAATCGGATTCAAAATATTCAGGTATTTCATAGAAATTATCATCCACTGAATCTTGTACAAGATGCCAATCTTTTAGATAAAGTATTTCCATTGATTCATTTTCAATAAATTTTTTCCAATATCGAACATATTCATCGAATAACATTTCATTTTTTGGATTTGAATTAAAATGTTTTCGATTGCAATTATAAACCGGTACGGTTAATTTTCCATATTTTTCAACAAGATAATCAAAATTTATTCGATTTGAATCATCATTATTACTTAACCATTCATTACGACATTTCCATTGTTCAGTTAATTTGGATCCAAATAAACAGGCTTTATTTTTTTTCATAACATTATTATAAAATTCATTATATGATGGTAATTGTTCCGAGGAATAAATGATGAAATTATCATTTAATAATTCCATTCCATTTGAAAACATATTTCGAAGTTTCGAACATGTGATTCACGATTTACGCATGCGTCATTCGAAACAAAAAAAGAGCGAGGGAAAAACGAATGACCAACGAATTTTGTTTTTTTTTGGGAATTCGTTACCATGGTTGCCATTTTTCGTTGTTGAACAAATGAATCGATCGATCGATTGTCATTTCAGTGAACCAAAACAAAACGAAGAAAACACGTTTGCTTTGGAAAAAAATTCCCAGATGATTGTGTTGTTGGCCTGTCGGGGTATGTTTTTATGTTTTTTGTTTCGCTTCGATTGAATCATGCTTTGTCATATTTTTTTTTCATTTTTTCATTTTCAAATATCGTTTTTCAAACGATGATAGGATGAATAAAGATGATAGGATGAATCATATTGATAATCATCATCATCATTGCCGACTTTTATTACCACTATTTGTAACATCAAATGAATTTGATCTCTTTTTCTGCTGCTGTTGATTTGAACTGGTGTTGATAATATCGTTGTTACCGCCTTCAACATCATCATCTTTATCACTTAACAGCCAGGATTGATTTTTTTGTTTCAACTTTTCCGAACCCAAAAACAAAAAAAAAATGTTATTCAAAATGTTTTATGTAACAATAATCAAGTAAGCAATATTCTCTTCTTTTTTGTTGCTTCTTCCAACCGATGATAGACAATAGGATGCCTATTGCAAGATGTGCTGTTGAACATTGAAAAGAGAAACCCGGTATATCATCTACGATTCTATAATTAGCAGTTTTAAATAAACAAACGAACGAACGAAGATGCATGTGTGTGTATTGTTCTATATATCATTGAAAATGAAATGATTCGACGATTTGGCATCAATGAAAAAAAACTGATAGTTTAAAAAACAGACAAAAAAATCATTCGATCGAATCAACAGTTTTTGATTTTTTTTTCTTCTAGGAAGAATAACAAACTAGGAAAATATTATTCATTACAAGGCTAATCTACATATATGTTGCGTTTGTTTAAATTATTTAATTGTGTTTTAGTGTGGGTGTGTATGAAGCGAACATCGCACTCTTGATTTTTCTTTTTCTACTTCTTGTTTGATTTTAATAATCATCATTGTCGTCGTTATTATTTCATAATTTTATAATTTATTTGTTTTATACCCGGTGATTCTGTCATATATGTTGATGGATTGATTTGTTTGAATCCGATAATTATCTTTCTTTCCTTTCGAAAAAAATAATAATAATTCGATCTTGCAAATGACAATCGGCAATGCAGCTTATTTATTAATATTTTTATCCGCTTGTTTACCAAGTTTATCTAAATATTTTTATATGTCTTATAGACAGATTATTGGTGGTCTTTATCCATCATATCTTGCATATAAAGCACTTAAACGACGTGATGGACCAGAAATTGTAAGTTTTTTTAAATTAATTTTCATTTTAAAATTTTTAAAATTTTAAAATTTTCATTTTTCCGCTGACTTAATAGACTCGATTGGTTATGTATTTTATTGTATTTCAAATATACTGTTCGATTGAATTTTATCTTGATCTTTTTCTATCATTTTGGTAAGTGATTGATAATTAAAACAAACACTTGTTGCATTTGTATTACTAAAACATTCTTATAATTTATTTAAAATAGGTTACCATTCTATTATGAAAGTAAATTAATATTTATATTTTGGCTCATTTCACCGTATGGAAATGGTGCACAAATTTTATATGAAAATCTTATACAAAGAAAATTTGAAGAAAATGAAGAAAAAATTGATAAACAAATTGATAATTTAAAAAAATTTGCAATAAATTCTGCATGGAATTTATTTGGTAAATTTAATTGTTATCTAAATCGTTTATTAATATTGGGTATTGCAAAGGTAATCGAATTGAATCATTCAAAAGAATTATTGACATTAAAATATTGTTCAAAAAATCAGGCACAAATGGCAGCTATACAATATGTACATTTCCAACAAAATCTTGAAAAAACATCAATCGAAACAAATGATAATAATGAACAAACAACAGGTGATATAAATATTGGACCATTAATCGAAATAATGGATACAGATAATGATGAAATAACAATGGATCAATCATCAATTCAACGTGGCAGCCGAGAAGATGAACAACAAGATAATGATGATGATGAATTAATAAATGTCAAAAAGCCATTACGAAAAACAAAAAGAAAACGACGACAACAGTTACAGTCGATTGAAGACATATCATCATCACCAACACAAACATTTATAATACAACAATTATTATCATCATCATCAAACGAATCAATCAATCATAGACCACTTACACGTTCACAAATTGCAAAATCGATAAACACTGATTGATCGATATTTGGCAACTAAGTATGTTTTTAACTTTATAAATATAATGAAAACAACAAAAACAACAACAACGATTTTATAATCACACAATTTTATTATCATTATCCAATTCGGTTATCTTGGTTGCATTTTTGTTCGATGATTTTATTTATTTATTTTTTTTAATTATTATTTACTCTCCTATTCACCAGACACAAAAAAAAACAGACAAACAAACACAAACGTTTGATTCTTTGTGAAAATTAAAAAATTTTAAAAAAATGGGAAAAAAAATCTGATTAATTCTCTTGATTGATTTGGTTAGATTTTTAGTTTTCAAAGTTCATCATCATCATCATCCGGACAATAGCCAATACTTTGTATACCATTTTTAAGCAATGGTGTTCCTTTATCTTTACCCAATACACGTGCATTGAATATAAATGTTAAAACTTTGTTCGATTGTGGATTCAATGGTAATAATGATACTGTTTGTTTAAGAAATTTTTCTTTGAATGCAAATAAATGTGCCGTCAATTGATGTTCAAATAGTTTATCACCATTATCATTGTTATTATCATTCGAATCATCTTTTGATTTGGATATCGAACGAATTTCAATAATTTGTGCATGACAATCATTAGTACAACTATTATTCAAATCAAATTGATTTTCAATCATTTCATTTGATTCGAATGAAAATTTTATCTCATATTTATAATTTATTTGTAAAAAACCAAGATGTATATTGGCAACCAATTCATTCGATATTTGTATCTGTATTTCAGAATTATGTTCCAAATTATCATTTTCTTCGGCAAATTGTACACGATTTTCATGATGATGAACTATAGTTTCCAGAAAAAATGAATGAAAATTTCATCAAATCAATTTCATTTCTTCGTGAAAAACGATTAAACAACAACAGCAAACATACCGTTATTAGAAGACATGTTAGGAAAGTTTTTTTTGTTTTCAAAAAAAATTGTCAATTTTTTTGGACCAAAAACAAAATTGAAAAAAATTATTTTCAATTTCAATAAGTTCGTAAGTTTTTTTTTTGCTCAATATAATTTGGATTCGTCATTTGTGAGCATGTCATCATCGAACGATAGGATCGTATGATATTAGTAAACATGACGTATGTTGTTTTGATTTGTTTTTATTATTATTGATGATGGACTTTTAAAGGTGGAACAAAACAAAAAACAAAACAAATATTTTAATGTTTCCCGAAACAACAACAAAAATGAATAATAATGATTTGTAATAATTTAAATTCCATTCCATTCATTCTTCTTCTTTGTCTGTTTTTTTTTGTATGAAAAAATCAATCAATCAAAATTATGCCTTGGTCATCATCATCGGGACAACATTCGAATCGTTTATATAAAGTGATCATTTTGTTATTAATTATTATTATTAAATTGATGAATTTTTCATCAGCCAACGATAATATTTTTTCAAATGACGATAATGATGATATCGATGATGGTGATGATGATGTTTTTCATTCATATGAAATACCAAATCTACTGCCAAATTGTCAGAATCGTCCCAATGTTGCTGATCATGATAATGATGATGTTAGGTAATATTTGTTGGTTGTTTTGTAGAGAATTTTAATCAAATTATTTTATCATTTAGAAATTATCTAATTGCAGCAACATTAAATGGTAAAATCAGCATCATAAATGCTGTATGGGGAACAATAAAATGGACAAAACAAATACAAACAAAACCATTAATATCATCAAATATTGGAAATGTAATGAAAATACATAATAATTTTGGTGAATTAATGCAAATATTACCATCATTGGATGGTAATCTTTATGTTTATCATGGTGATACTATCAAAAAAACACAATTTTCAGCCGAAAAATTATTGAAAAATTCATTTAAATTTAATGATAATATTATGCTGGCTGGTGGTCAGGAAAGTAAACTTATTGGTATAAATATAAATAATGGTGATATTCTTTATGATTGTGGTCATTCCGGTTGTCAACGTGATAATGAATCCACTATTTCAATGGAAAATATTATTTTATTAAGAAAAAATTCACAATCAGTTCGAGCTATAAATACAATGACTGGTAATGAAGAATGGCATTTTGTTGTTGATGATCCACAAATTATTGAAATTGGTACGAATGAATGTCATCAACAACATTATAATAGTACGACTGACTCATCACCATATACAATAAAATTTAAAGTAATGTTACCAAATGGTCGTATAACATCATTAGTACATTTTTCAAATGATTCATCGCAAAGTGAAATATTTAATACATGGACAATTAGTTTAGATTCACCAATTGTTAATATGTGGCATTGGCAAAATGAACAATTGATAAAAGTAAATTTATTTGATCCACAGATAAATAATTTTGATGCTTTTTTATCGAAAACAAATCAAAATCATCGAATACCATCAACATCATCATCATATTTATATCTTGGTTCATATGAAAATAATTATTATATTCAAACATCAAATTCAGTTAATGATGATCAGAATCAATTAATACCATATTATGATGAAACGAAAAAAATTCCCGAACGACGTAAACAAACATTTATTGCTATTGAAGATAAGAAAGATGCTCAAGATAATGATAAATCGAATACACAGCTGCAAGTAAAACAACAGCAACAACAAAGAAAATTTTCATTTCTTCATACCCGATCGGGTAATGATAATGATAGTAATGCAACAGGTTATCTTGTTTTACATTATGATGATGATAATGATGAAAAATGTCCATCATTTGATGATGGCAATGATGATTATGATGATGATGATGATAATACAATCACTGTAATTGTTTATGCACAATTAAGTTATTATTGGAAAGAAATTCTTTGTCTTTGTATGATTTTCAGTGCAGCAACTAATACTTTATGGTGTTTATTGAAAAAATATTGGTCATTAATTTTTTCAACTAGAAATATTGATGATGATGATTTATCGGAATCGCTGATTGATGGAAATTGTTTTCTATCATGTCAAACATCAACACCACAGCCAATGATTATTGGTGAAGAGAAATCTATTTCAAAAGATGATTCAACAAATCAACAACAACAACAACCAGCAATAACAAATTCATATAATTCAAGATATCTTGAAGATTTTGAACAACTTAGCCTACTTGGTAAAGGTGGTTTTGGTTGGGTATTCGAAGCTAAACATAAAATTGATGAAAGTCATTATGCTGTTAAACGTATATCGATACCAGCGATTGAAGAAAAACGTCATCGTTTTATGAGGGAAATTCGTGCCCTTTCGAAATTGGATCATGTTAATATTGTACGTTATTATAATGCATGGGTTGAACAACCACCATTTGGTTGGCAAGAACAACAAGATCGTCTTAATAATCAATATGATTTTTCAGTAAATTCATCAATTCCCACAACAACAACGGCAACACATTCAATATATTCACCAGTGAATTCTTTAATGGTAAAATCTACTAATGATATCAACGATGATAGTTTGGTTATTGATGAGAAAAATGATGATGATTCATTGGAGATTGTATTTGAAGAAATTTCCAATGATAATAATTCAATGAAAATTATTCTGGATAAGGATCGTGCAAATGAAGAGATAAAATCATCAAAACAAATGAATGGTGGTGGTGTTTATCATAGTGAAACAAAGAAAAAAATGATGATGGTTACAAAATCAAAACCACAACAACGACAAAAAGTGCCAAAAGCATTTATGTATATACAAATGCAACTGTGTAAAAAAGAAACATTAAAAGATTGGTTATTTCAGAATACAAAACGTAAAAAATCTGAAATGATTGATATATTTATACAATTACTTAAAGCTGTTAATTATGTTCATAATAATAATCTTATTCATCGTGATTTAAAGGTTTGTTTTTTTTGGTTTTTGTTTTTCGTAAAATCATTTTTTCAAATAAATTTTAGCCATCAAATATATTCTTTTCGATGGATGGCCTAGTGAAAATTGGTGATTTTGGCCTTGTCACAACTATTGTTGATGAAGATGAACATTGTGATCAATTTGAAACAAATTCATCATCATCATCATTACGAAAACATCATCTTAAACATACTAATCGTGTTGGTACACAATTATATATGAGCCCTGAACAAGTAAGTTTAGTTAGATTTTTTTGTTGTATAATTTTTTAATGAAATTTTCTGAATTAACAGATAAAAAATCAACCATATGATCATAAAGTAGATATATTTTCAATGGGTATTATATTATATGAATTATTAATGCCATTCCATACGGAATCCGAAAGAATTCATCAATTACAAAATGTAAGAAGGAAATTATTTCCAAATGAATTTGATAAAGAATATCCGGAAGAGGTAAATTTATTTTTATTTTTGATTTTGATTGATTCAACAAGTTTATCTAATGTGTATTTTTGTGTGTTTATAGAAAAAAATTATACAAAAAATGATGGCCGATTCACCGAAAAATCGTCCCGAATCAATGGATCTTTTAACGAATGATTTATTTTCACATTGAATGTTTGAAACGGATAATGATGATGATTGGAACAGACAAATGACATCAGTATTTGTTAATAATAATCATCATGTTGTATATAATATGTTTTTCTCGCCTTTTTCAATTCCTTGTGATATTTATTTTGTTATTCGTGTTCAATTTTTTCTCTTTAAATAAATATCTCTTCAAAGTTGATCATCATTGATTGATTCAAGATTTAGACAGAATCCTTTTTCTTTTAAAATTTTTAATTTAATTTTTTCACGACGTTGTCGTTCTTCAATTTCATTTTGTTGCAGTTCTAATATCTCTTCGATTGGTATCTGTTTCAATGGTGTATTTAATTCTTTTTGATCATCCTTTATTAAAAAAAAAATTTAAATTAGAAAACTTTTATATGATAAAAATAATGAGAAAAACTACTTACAATTTCACCACAAAGTGCAACATTTTCACCACGAATTAAAAATATACCTCTTGGTATATCACCATATTTTTCATTTACATAAATTCTTTCGATTGTTTGATGTAATAATAGATTGGCTATAGAATTTTTTCAATGAATTTAGTCATTTTTTGGTTCATAATAAAAGAGAAAAAACTTACAAAATTGATCGATACTTCGAAGATAACCGATCAATGTACGACCATCACGAAGTAATACGATAAGCTTTTCTGTTTGAAGAAAACGAAACGAAGAAAAATTTGGAAAATTAAGATATTCTAAGAACAAACTTACTGTCCAATTCATCCAATAAACTTGCAGGTAAATCACTCATCTTTTAAAAGATTTATTTCTATTTTGTTATTTTTGGGTAAAAAAATGAAAGATAATTTTTGATTGAACAAGAATTTTCAAGAATAATGCATGTTTTGTTTTTTCACAGTTGTAAAAATTCTCCTGATTAATACCTTGAAAGTATCAAATTGATAACTTTTCAGTGTATAAATTTCTTGGTTAACAAAAAATATTTTAGTTTATAAAATTTTTTATTTTAAAAAAAATAATTTAATGCATTTTATTTAAATAATAAAATGATGATGATGATGATGGTGTGGAAGAATTTTGTCTTTGAAAGATATTTTTATCACTAGAATTCATTGCAAATGGCGATGATGATGGTGATGATAATAATGGTGATTGATGTGAAAATGATGATAATCGTTTATCACAAACCAAATCTAAAAATCGACTTAATTTTACAGCATTAGTTGTACCTGGTGACAAACTTTTCGAATTACGACAATTTAAATGTATAGAATCACAATGTAAAAGATCAATAAGATCTGTTTTGGATTGAATATTTGATGAAACAAGATCTTGTTTCGTTGCTGCAATCAAAATCGGAATATTCAAACCGGAAAATGATTTACTATCATATTCAAAATCATTATCATCCGATACGGGAAATAAGGCTTGTGATAAACTATTACCATAATAACGTTCATTATCATTATTACCACAAAGTGCTTGTCCAAGCCAATTTTTTAGATTTTTTTCCGATTTACGATTAGTTAAATCTTGTACAAGTATAATACCATGAAATGAATAGAAAAATATTTTCCGTGCAATACTATGACTACGTGAACCACCAACATCCCAAAATTCGATGAAACAATTTTTCTCCTGCGGTGAACCTTCTTTATAACGATGAAGTTTAACATCGATCGAACAGCCAATTGTCCACCGAGTTCGTTCAAGTGTTTCGGAATGACATATCAGATGAACTAATGATGATTTTCCCACTCCAGAATCACCTAATACAAGAATTTTTATCTTTTCATTAATGGTTGCCATTTAGAAATTGAATTACAAAGAAAAAAAAAGATAAAATTATAAAAACAAAAACAAAAACGAATAATGATGATGATGAAATGAATATATCAGCTGCAATGAAGACAAAACGTTTTGGAAATCAAAAGATGGCAGCATTTGGTCTATTTATTTTCTTCTATTTTTTCAGTTATAGTCATCAACCTAACCTAACTCAACTATAAGCTCACAGTCATAGTCATAGTCATCAACCTAACCTAACTCAACTATAAGCCCACAGTCATAGTCATAGTCATAGTCATCAACCTAACCTAACTCAACTATGAATCTCAATCATTGTCATCAACCTAACCTAACTGAACTAAGAGTTAAAAAAGTTTGAAAAAAATCGAAAAAAAATTTAAGCGAAAAAATATTTTTATAAAATAACCACGCCTGAATAACGGAGAAAAGAAAAATTCATTTCATTTCACAAATACCACACATGGTCAAATAGTTCAGTTGATGCTAACCTGACCTTTTTTTTTTGATTGCTTGCCGCCAATCGAAAGATAGAAAAAACTCTTCAGAGATGAAGAATGGAGAATGGAAGGAAAAAATCTTGTTAATTATAAAGTATTTAATGTTTTTTTTTCGCATTTTACATGCAACAGTTTGTTGTTGTTGTTGAGGAAACTGAGGAAAAGAAAATTACCAAATAAGTCAAATGAAGTGAAAATAGACGAATTTTTCTATTTAAACATAACCATAGCTGTTCTGTTTACAAACGCGGGGAAAAAAATTATCCGGTTGCAACTTTTTTGAATATAAAAGATTGTTGCATCCGAACGGGACGAAAAAAAATTCTGGCTACAACGACCATCATCGTTAATATCAATGGCCTCATTTTTATCAACATCACACCATCAACAACAAACATCAACAGTAAAAAAAACCACCACCAACATCACCGCTAAATCTAATATTTAATAAGAAATGAAAAAATTGAATAAATAAAATACCTTGGCCATCAAAAAAAAACTACAAAAAGTTTCATGAACTTCATGAAATTCAAATCAAATAAAAATCTTACCTGGCTGCATCAAAGTCAAGAGCAAGAGAGAGAGAAAAAAAACATACAGGAGAAGATATAGTCACCACCACCACCACATTTGATTATCAGTAATGCAAGGTGTGCAAGGTGTTCGAATTGAGCAACAGCAAAAAAAAAAAAATGTTCGAATAGAGCAGCAGCAACTCAAATCATACAGGTTGTTTTCGTCTAATGCCAAAATGGTCGTGGTCAGCCGAAAGAAAATAAACTTGTTGTTGTTGTTGATATTCGAGAGTGTATGCATCTTGTTTTATTCGTTCTCGACCATCATCATTACATAAGTTTTTTTTTTTGATTTGATCAACATTTTAATATAATCAGCAGCAGAAGGCCAAGAAAAACATAACATAACATTATTGACTTGTCGATCATCAACATCAACATCGAAAAAAAAGAAATGATTGTCGAGTTGGACATCTCACATCAACGAATGATTGTGGATTTTTGAATGATCGATTATTATGTGGATAAAGATAGAGTTAACGATAGTGTGTTAGTGAAAGAGCGAAAAAAAGATTCGAATCGAATTTGAATAAATTAATTTTGATTTTTGACCACGTTTGAATTTCTTATCATCATCATCATTTTATCGTTGATTTGATTTGATTTGTGTGTTTTTCTGTTTGTTTTTTTATCTCGTGTTAAAAAAAATTCTGAACCAATTTGAAAATGTCGTGATTATCGTTATTTTAACTAATCAAATAATGGATTCGCAACGTAAAAATCAACATAAAAATGAATCATCATCATCATTTTTATCCAAACCAACTGATGAATCAATTTGGATCGATATACAACAGAAAACATTTACCAATTGGGTAAATGAACAACTTAAACCGAATGGTTTATATGTACAAAATTTACAACAAGATTTTTCCAACGGCTTGAAATTAATTGCCTTGGTTGAATGTTTACAAAAACGTCGTTTGAAAAAAGTTTCGAAACCATTAAATCAACATCAATCAATTGAAAATGTACAGATTGCATTGAATGCAATTGCTTCTGATTGTATACGACTAGTTAATATTGGTAAATATTGATGATAATGTTATCAATTTTCGGTTTATTTATTCTGTTTCTGTTTTTGTTTTGAAGGAAGTACCGATATTGTATCGGGTAATCTAAAATTAATATTAGGTTTATTATGGCAACTAATAACACGTTATCAATTGGGTAAAGCATCAACACCGCCAAAAAAATTAATGCTTTCATGGTTAGAATCAGCTATACCGGATTTGAAGATAAAAAATTTTACAAAAGATTGGAATAATGGTATTGCATTGGCAGCATTATTAGATTTTTGTCAACCAGGTATTTTCGGTGATTGGAGAAAATTATCACCAAAAAATTGTTTAGAAAATTGTCATAAAGCAATGACAATTGCAAAAGCTGAATTTAATATCCCGATGATTATAACAGCTGAAGATCTGAGTAATCCAAATCTGGATGAAAAATCATCATTAACATATCTTTCATATTTTATGAAAGAAAATGGTCCTGGTTATAATCTTGTTATTAATTGGGCAAGACAAATGTTACCAAATATGGATATAAAAAATCTGACTGTAAGTTCTCTGCATTATTCTTATTTTACATTTGAATTTAAATTGAATTCTGTTCCTTAGACTGATTGGAATAGTGGTATATTATTCTGTCAATTACTTTCGGAACTTGGTGCCAATGGAATAAATTTATCCAAACTTAATTCAGATAAAAAATATTGGGAAAATAATTGGTCATTAGCTATTGATTGTTGTCGGCAATTAGCCAGTATTGAACCACCAAATCAATTAAAACCAAAACATTTTTCTGATCCAAATATTGAATATATAAGTATTATGGCTTATTTAACCAAATTGATACATATTTCAAGAAAACAAGATTTATTACGAATAATTGGTGTTAATTTGAATAATGTTTTCGTTCAAAAAGAAGCTATATTTAATTTGGAATTACTTACCGATAATATTGAACTGGAATATATTCGGTCAGAAGTTCATTCATCAACAAATAAACTGGTAACATCGGAAATAACTGTAAATAAATATGGCGGTACGGGGAAATTTGTACCCATAGAATCTGGTCTACATGAATTGAAAATTTTTTATAAAGATAATCTTGCAACTAAACCATTAAAAATTAAAGTACATCCAGATTTGACAAATGTTATATTTTCTGGTATTGAACCTTGTTCAGTTGGTTCATTAGTTGAAGTTGTTGTAAGTTTTTTTGTTTCGTTTGTTTATTATGATTTATAAATTGATTTTCAATCAAAAATTTTCATTCTTTCAAAGATCAATTCAAATGGTGCCGGTTCATCCGATGTTAAAGTAGTTGCCGTATCATCAACCAAACGTGAATTAAATTGTGAACTAATTGAAAAAGATAATTCAATTATTGCAAATTTTATACCGGATGAAATTGGTGAATGGCGTATTGCCATTACTTATTCGGGTGAACATATTAATGGTAGTCCATTTCCATGTTTAGTTTATGATAGTAATCAAGTTATCATTAATTATCATAATAATAATGATCAACAACAACAATTGACAATGATGAATGAAAATATTTTCTTTACAATCGATACACGTAATGCTGGTTGGGGTAAATTGGATATCAAAGTTGTTAATCCTTCAATTGTTAATCAACAACAACCGATACCAATTGAAATTGATGAACGTGGAAATGGTATATATAATGTATCATTTAAACCAGAATCAGCAGGAAAATATTTTCTACATGTAACATTCAATCAACAAGATGTACCAAATTCACCCATTGAAATTGATGTTAATTCATCATCATCGACGATGATTAATGATCTAAATAATCGAATGAAACGTGCTACTTTAGATGAAATATCTTCGATCAATAACAATAATAATAATCATAATGGTAATAATAAACAACCACAACAGCAAATCGAACAAAAACCGATTGAAGTTATTGAAAATCAAGAAATATTTGGTACACAAGTTGGCAAATTGGCACAATTAGAAATCAATAATCTTGATGATCAAACAAATATGTTATCATATTTTGTTAAAGATCCTTTTCAGCAAGAATTACCTGCATTATTAAAACGAATATCATCACCTGGTGGTGGTGGTTCGTATAAATTAGAATTCAAACCATTAATTGTCGGTAGTCATACTGTATTTATCGATCTTGATGATCAACCAATTAAAGGTAGTCCATTCATATGGAATGTTTATGATTGTAGCCAGGTGAAAGTATTTTTTCCCAACACCACTAATAACATAATGATTGGAAATGATGTTCATTTTGAAATTGATACATCAAATGCTGGCCTTGGAAATGTTGAAGTTTTAATTGATAATGGTTCAATTCCTTGTACATTGAAACCATTAAGTAAAACAAGATATTTAGGAATTTTTAAAAGAAAATCAACATCAAATTCAATTATCGATATTAGATTTAATGGTGAAAGTATACCACAATCACCATTCTGTTTAGAAACAATTTTGAACGGAAAACATCAACATAATAATCAAGATGAAGATGATGTTATTGATGGTATAAAATCCAACGGTACATTTCATATTGAATCATTGGAAAATTTTAAAGTTAATCAACAAACATCATTTACAATTAGTGTTAAAAATATGATGATAAATGTTGAAGATTTATCTGTTTCAATATTGGATACAACAATATCCTCGGTAATAAATTATCGTATAATTGAAGAACCGGATAATGTTTATCGTTGTCAATTCACTGCATCAATAGTTGGAACATATCAATTTAAAATATTCTATAAAGATTCAATGATACATACATTTACAGCTAAAGCATATGATATAACGAAAATTACTGTCAGTGATATACCAAAGAAAATCATTTTAGGACAAAAATGTAATATACAAGTTGATGCATCGAATGCAGGTGAAGGACAATTAGAAATTGCTGTAAATGATGGTGAAGTACCTAATCATGTTCAAGTATTAGGTAATGGTAAATGTTTGATAAGTTTTAAACCAGAACAACTTATTGAACATATTGTGGATATTAAATTTAATAATGAAAATATTTTGGGTTGTCCATTTCGTTGTCAAGTGGATGAATTTCCTGATTTAAAATTTGATCTTTCACGTATCGAACTGGTACAGGTTGGTTATCCGGTACAATTTTCAATCGAAAGTAGCCATTTATTGGAGAAAAATTTTTCAATCATTATTACATCACCATCGAATAAAATTATGCCAGTAAATATTCAACAAGGAAATCCATTATTGTTATGTGAATTTGTACCAAATGAAGTTGGTCCTTATGCTATAAATTTTGAATATTGTTCCAAACTAGTCTTTAATCAGCCATATTTAATTAAAAGTTTTGATCCAACAAAGGTGATTGTTAGTGCACCGGCAAATGGTTGTGTTGGAAAATCCATACAATTTATTGTTGATGCTATTTATGCTGGTGAAGGTAAGTGTTTGATTTTTTAATTTTTGCTATTGAAAAATTTCATCCTAATTCGTTATCATAGGCAATCTTGAAATATCTGTGGTAACAAATGAAAAAAATGTGCCAACACAAGTACAACCAATTGGTGGTGCAAAATTTGGTGTTTGTTTTACACCGACCCAGGCAAATGATCATATTGTTTCAATTACATTCAATAATATTGCTGTTAATGGTTTGTTTTTTCCCTTTGTTTTTCAATTTGTTTAAAATGAAATTTTCTCTTCAAATCCAAAAAAAGGCAATCCATTTTTGGTCAATGTCCTACCATCAACTGATAAACCAATCGTTACTGGATCAGCATTATATTTTTCACCAGTCGATCAAATAGCCCGTCTTACAATACATAATGTTGATTCAGAAAATGATATTATAGCCAAAGTACAAGGTAAGAAAACCATTGAAACTTTTTAAAAATTTAAAAACTTTTATCATGATAAATCTAGATGGAAATAATCAAGTTGTTTCAGCAAACATTATTAAAGATTTACAAAATCAATGTATTCATTTGGAATTTTTGCCTAAAATGCCAGGTTTGTCAATCATAATCATCATCATCATTTTAAAAATCTTTCCTTAACATCATAATCTTATTTTTGTATTATAGGCGAGTATAAAGTTCAACTAAAATATAAAGGCGAACATATACAAGGATCACCATTTATGACAAAAATTTATGATATTAAAAAAATTAAAGTTAAAGATATTCCAAATGAAATTTGCTTAGGGAAAATGGTTACCTTTTTAGGTAAGACATATATTTCATATATATTGTGTGAATAAATTGAAAATTTTCTTTTTTCTAATGAAAAACAGTTGAAGCAACAAATGCTGGACCAGGAAATCTAGAAGTAATCGTTAATAATGGTAAAGTACCATCAACACCAAAATCATTGGGACCTAGTTTATATGCAATATCATTTGTACCTACTGATCCGGAAATTCATGGTAAATTTTTTTCAAATTTGATTTAATCTCTGAATATTTTGTTTTTGTTTCTCATTTTTAGTTATTGAAATAAAATTCAATGGAAAAAATGTTGAAAGTAAGTTTTGAATTTTTTTGTTTTTGTGAAACATTTTTTAATTTTTTTTCGTTATCGTCTCCATTATAGATTCACCATTTCGCTGTAAAATACTTGATGCCGAAAAGGTGATGTTTCAACCGCTGGAAAAAGTTGCCGTGAATAAAGTTGCACAGATTACAGTCGATACAAATGGTGGCCTATTAAATGAAAATTCTATCGTTATTCTAAGTAATTTTTTTAAAAATTTAACATAAATGTTTTATCACTTAATCCATTATCATTATCATTATCCATAGGTCCATCACATCAGAATTTAAAACCAATATTATTGGGTGATCATTTAAATGGTTATCAAATACAATTCTGTCCAATTGAAGTTGGTGATCATGCTATTGATATAAAAATTGGTAACAATTCAATACCTGGTTGTCCTTTTTTGGTTAAAGTTTATGATTCGAAAAAAGTTAAAGTTACTGATATAAAAAATGGTTTTGTTGGCAAACCGATTTATTTTTCAATCAATGCAAGTCCAGCTGGTGCTGGAAATTTAGAAATTATTGTTTCATCAAATGGTCGAAATGTACCAAATTATGTACAATCGGAAGGAAATGCAAAATTTCGTGTAAATTTTAAACCAACTGAAGCAACATTACATATGATTAGTTGTAAATTTAATGGTGAACCAGTACCGGGTAGTCCATTTACTGTACAAGTATTTGAAGAAACAAATCCACTTGGAACATTATTTTCTGATTCATCGATCAAAAATATTTCACTGAACAAAGGTGTTGAATTTAGGATAGAAAATCCAAATAATGAAATGAAACAATGTCAGATAATAATAACAACACCAAGTCGTAAAAATATTAATCCAACAATTGAAAAATTACCAAATCATTTCATCATACAATTTAAGCCAACCGAAATTGGACCACATCAAATGATTATTTCATTGGATGGTTTACCTGTTCCTGGTTGCCCGTTTACCTGTAATGTTTATGATGTAAACAAAATCAAACTCGGACAATTAAATAAATGTATCGTACGTAAACCATATACATTTCAAGTTGATGCTTCACAAGCAGGTGAAGGTACATTAGAATTAGTAATATCAACTGATAATAGTTCTGTTCGTGCTGAAGTTCTAATGAAAAGTCGTGGGCTTTATGATGTTACATTTTTACCTCAAGATTGTCGGCCACATTATCTAAATATGACTTTTAATGATGAAGATGTTCCAGGTAGTCCATTTAATATCGATATTATTGATTCACCTGTTTCTCCAACAACAACAACATCATCAACATTAACGACAACAGGTGCACCACTTGTTGAAGATCGAAGATTATTGACTGGACGAACAAATCAAATCAATGTTGTTAATTTTCGTACACAATCATCTACATCGACTGTAAACAATATTCGTGCCATTATTGTCGGGCCAAATAAAACAAAAATATCCGGAACATTAACAAAATTGGATGCAGAAAATTTTAAACTAGAATATTTACCGAAAACAATTGGGAAATATAAGATTGAAATTTTCGAAAATGATAAACATCTTTGGAAAGAACCAATATTTATTGATATAGTTGATCCAAATCAAATACAGGTAACGATGCCAGCAAATCATTGTTTACAAGGAAAAGAATATGAATTTAATGGTAAGTTTATTTATTTATAAAAATGAATTTTTATTTTATAAATATGATTTCATTCCAACAACTTGATAGTTAATACTTCGAAAGCTGGTGAAGGAGAATTATTAGTAAAAATCATTAGTGCTGGTGATAATGATAATGATCGAAAAGAAATTCCATTTAAAATGAAAAATATTGAAACAAAATTATATAGATTTTCATTCATACCTGAAACAGCTAATAATCATCAAATTGAAATCTATTATAATAAATATCCTGTTAATGGATCACCATTTTTAATCAATGTTCAACCACATCTTGAATCAATCATTATCTATGGTGAAGGTTTGAAAACAGCACATTGTAATGAAAGAGCTATATTTTTTATTGAAAGTGAAGATTTATCTGCCAATGATTTTGATATAATTGTCACCGATCCCGTTCGATCACCATTACCAGTAAAATGTTATCAACAAAAAAATGGTTGTCTATTGGTTGAATGGCTGCCGAAAAAAATCGGCTCCCATAAGATTGAAGTATTTCATGGTGATAAACCTGTTATTGGTTCACCATTTATATGTGAAATTTTTGATGCATCAAAAGTAAAAATCGAACCAATCGAATCATCAAGTTTTGTTATTAATAAAAAAATTAATCTACATCGTAAGTTTGATATTTTGATTTTTGAATTTAATCCTTTTTTAACTTTGTGTTTTCTGTTGTTTGAAAATAGTTAATCGAAAAAATGCTGGCTATGCTGAATTAGATGTTACTGTAACAAGTCCATTAGGTCGTCATTTACCTATTGATGTAAAAGGAATGCCAAATGGTGAAGGTGAATTGATTGAATTTGTACCAACAGTACCGGGAAAATATAAAATTGCCATTACATATGGTAATGTTGAAATACCGGATAGTCCGATTACATTTTTTGCACAAGAAAGTATTCTACCAAAAGTATCGGGTGATGGTTTACGTTGTGGCCAAATTAATGAACCTTGTTGTTTTATTATCGATGCTAAAGATATTTATGGTTCACCTGAAATTAAAATTGATGGTAAATAATAATTTTTTTTTGTTTATTTCGTTTCCTCAATTCATTAATTTAACATTATATCTTTTCAAAACTAGGACCGGAAAGTGAAACATCATTTTCAATCGAAAAATGTAATGATATTTATAAAATTACCTATGTTCCATTGGAAATTGGTATATTTGATATAAAAGTATTATGGAATGGCCAGGAAATTCCAGGTAAATTGATTCAAAGTTTTGTTTTGTTCTGTTAATGATTGTTTGTTTTCGTTATTATTTATTGATAAATAGAAAGTCCATTTCATCCACATATTGTCAACATTGAAAAAGTACGATTGATTGGTGGTTGGGAAAACATTTTAGACATTCATAATCGATTAATGTTTTGTATTGGTGAAGAGAAAAAATTAATCTTTGATATAAGTGAAGCCGGAACAGGTTTGTTTGTTTGTTTATTTCATTCAAATCTTTCATTATCTATGTTTTCGATTAGGAAAATTGATGGTTAAAATCAAACATAACAACAACAACAGTTTTGAAGAGTTGCCATTGGAACAAACAGGATCATATAAATATAAAATGTTATTTAAACCAAAATTTTGTGGTAAATTCATTCATTCATAGATAGTTTTTTTTCCTTTTCAATAACCTTGTTTTCTTTATCATTAGGCGAATATGATATCTATGTTTATTTTGAAAATTTTTTACTACCAAAAATGCCTATACATGCTATTGTAAATGAAAATAGTATGGAAGGTGTAACTGTTGTTCTTCGTGGTCATGGTTTGGCTGGTGCTAGAGTTGGTGAAGAAGCTGAAATCGTTATCGATGGAAAAGATGCTGGTGATGGCGAACCAGATGTTACATTAACTGGTGTTAAATCTGATATCAAAGTTAAATTGATTGCTATTGGTCCTCGATTATATAAAGCATTATATGAACCAAGGATTCCAGGAACCTATTTGTTGAATGTTCTTTGGAATCAAAAACAAGTAAAAGGATGTCCATTAAAAGTTCCTATATTACCTAGTTGTGATTCGAAAAGAGTTATCTGTACTGGTGATGGACTTAAAGGTGGTACTATCGGTAAAGAAATTAAAGCATTTATTGATACACGAAGAGCTGGTCCAGGTGAATTAAGTGCACAATGTATTGGTCCAAATAAAGCTGCCATTTGTGAATTATATGATCAAAATGATGGTACATTTACATTATTAATACATCCACAAGAAGGTGGTAAACATACATTAACAATAAAATATGGTGGTCAACATATTATCGGTTAGTTGTTTATTTTTTTTTATTCATTTAATCAATCAATATAATCGATTAATTAATTAATTAGGATCACCATTTTTAATGAGAATCTATTCGGCACCAGATGCAAGTAAAGTTAGAGTATTAGGTCCTGGTATCGAACATGGAGTATTGCCAATTTATCAAAGCCATTTTATGTGTGATACTAAAGGTGCCGGTGCTGGCCAATTAACTGTACGAATTCGTGGACCAAAAGGTGCATTCAAAGTTGAAATGCAACGTGAAAGTCAAAAAGATCGAACAATTTATTGTAAATATGATCCAACTGAACCAGGTGATTATAGAATTGAAGTAAAATGGGCTGGCGAACATGTACCTGGATCACCATTTTTTGTTATGATTTTCGATACACAAGATGAATTGAATCGTTTTTTACGTAATGGTTGTAGTAATTCAATGATTTCCCTGCCACCATTAAATGCTATCGAACGTATGGCTGGACCAAATTATTCGGAAGAATGGAAACAAATTTCATGGAAAGGATCTACTGCTGATCTATGATAATTTACATTCAAATCAAAAAGTATTATTTTGTTGATAATTTATTCTGATATTAACTAAAAACACACTGCAACAATCATTTGAATGATAATATTTTATTTATTTTATTTAAGTTGGAAAAATTACATGTTTTTTTTTGCATAATTTATTTCAAGAAAAAATATTTAAATTTCCCTCCTCGATTGCTCGAAAAGTTTCTCGATTTAATTTGTGAGCCAAAATTCGGAAAAAGTTTTCTTGACGTAAATATACATGATTATTAAATGTATGTGTGTACAAATTGAATTTGATTGTGAGAAATAAATTTATTTTATAACTTTCATATGATTGTTGCCTGAATTTGTTCTGAATTCTGATTGTTAATCGATCAATCTAATTAAATTAATCAAGATCATCATCATCATCATCAACATTATGGATCAGACAAAACCACCGACAACTTCAACAAACATGAAAAAAATTTTCATCCAACGTGATTATAGTCAAGGAACAAATATTCGTTTTCAAACAAAATATCCGAAAGAATTGATCGAAGATGATGATATTAAAAATAAGGTAACCAATTTTCATTCATATCAAGTTCAATGTTTGAAATAATTCTTTTTTGTTTGTTTGTTTGTTGTTTTATCAAAATAAAAAGATTGATGCTCAAACATTTACAGATTTTATTGTTACATTGAATACAATGTATGAAGAAGCTGAACGTATGAGTACAAAAGTTTGTTTTGAAAGTTGTATGGCTTGTTTAACCGCATATCTTACCTATTTATGTTTCGATACACATTTTGATAAGGTAAACAAACATAAAAAAAAACTTTGAAATGAAAATTTAAAAATTGAATGTTTATTGTTTATTCATATAGAGTTTAAAGAAAATATCGGCCTATATTAGTGAACAAAACGATATTGTTTTCCATCCTCGTGGTGTACACATTACCGATCCTATTGAAAGAGGACTTAGAGTTATTGAGATCTCTATCACAATCAACAATGATTCAAGATGAAATAATTACCATGGATTTGACTCATTTTTTACCCGAAACAATGTTGTAATTATATTTTCTCGTTTCTGGTCCTATTTATTATTGACCACTTTTTTTCTTTGAAAATTGTGAAATTTCAATTTTATGTTCTATTTTTCTGTAAATTAAAATATTCTGACCATCCTTTATTCCATTTACATCTGAATATTTTTGTTTGGTTCTTTAAAAAAAATAATCTCCTAATATTCGCACAAAAATTTCTATAATTTTATTTTTGACTTCCTGATTTATTTGGAATAAAATTTCATTGTAAAATTAAAAAAAAAATCTATATAATCAAGAATCAAAATTAGAGAAATGAATAGCGTTCGCTTAAAAATTGCTCCCTTAAGTTTGACTTTTAAGGAAAGCGTGCGCAAATCACTCGTAGAAAAATATGATCATCAAAAACTTTTTGGATTTCGATTTATTTACAGACTGCCATATTATGAGACCAAAAAAAACAATTTTTGATAATCAAACAATCAATTAATCAACTATTTAAAAAAAGTACAGTATCGATATAATTTGAAAAAAGAAAATCACATTTCATCAAGAAAAAAAATGAATAATAAGAATTAACAATTATTGTTCAGAGTAAATGTGTATGCGTGTCACTAATAATTTCTTTGAAGTAATTTTAAAAAAATTTAAAAATTAAAGTGATGAAAAATGCGTTATCGAAATTATCTAATACAAAATAATCATTATCAAATGTGTGTGTATTTGTGATTGTGGTGTATGTATTTGTGAAACAAAACAAAACAAAAACAAACAGATTCTGTTGAAACTCTGTTGTATTAGATTTGCATATTTTTTTGGTCCGGAAATTATTGATATCAGTGTATTTTGATTGATTGATTTTTTTTCTTCTTCTCAGTTTCAACTTTTTCCATCGAAACTAAATTTTTTCAAAATAGATGATGCACCTGATCCTTGTTTTTGTGATGGTGATGCATTTTTAGTCTTATTATTTGTTTTGTTTGATGTTTGTGAATTAATATTCTTATTAATGTTATTATTATTTGTTATTGCATTCGAATCTTTATTATTATTATTATTATTTGTTTTATTGAATGATAAGATAGCTTGATGAGGAAGAACTGGCTTGATTGAAGGTTTATTTGGCGGTATCGGTGGTGGTGTTGGTCTTGGACCGGTCAATGGTTTTTTTACCATTGTTCCGGTTGTCGATATCGATGATAATGATGATGATGTTGTCATTGTTGTTGTCGCTGTTGTTGTTACTGATGTTGTTATTGTTGTTGTTTTGGCTGAATTTTCATAAAACATTACTGTTTGTTTGACAGATGTATCCAATGAAACCGATTTGGAAGATAATTTCTTATGATTATCATCATTATTATCATTATCATTAAGATTACTATTTATATTTTCAGCTGCTATTGATGCCAATGATTTACAATGATGATTTGATGATTGATGTTGTTTAGGTTGTGGCACAGGTATCGATGGCGGTGGTAATATCGTATTATTATTATTAAGATTCGTATCTTGTTGTGTATGTTGAATACTTTTGGTCGACGATCCGACAGTTGTTGTCCTCGTTGTTATGGTATCACCACTAGGAACCATTGTTTTATTATTATTAGCTGCTATCAATGGAATTGGTTGAGCAACACTAGCTTTTGGATGAAATACTGGATTAACGGAAGAAAGTGATTGAACTTTTGGACCAACTGGTGTTGTTGTTACAATCGATGAACGAACACCTTCACCAAGATTCCATTTTTCTTGATCAATATTATTATTATTATTGGTAATCGATTTTGATCCTTTACCAATCAATTGAGCTTGTAAAGATTCAATCATATTACGTAAACGTTCATTTTCTGTTGTTAATGATATATTTTTTTGTTCACTTGCTTGTAATTGTTGCTGAAATTCTTGTCGTTCTTTTTCAAAATCATTTAAATATTTTTCCAATTCAGCTTCCATTTGTAATGATCGTTTACTTTCATCTTCAAGACCTTCGACCATTTCGATCATTTTACTTTTTTCAATATTAAGTGCTTGTTCCAATTGTTCATTTTGATGTTTTTCATCAATCAATTTTAAAATTAATTGTTTACGTTCATGTAATAATGATAGAATTATTTGTTTCATATTATCTTTTGTTTCATTTAATTGTTGATTTAATTCTTCGATTTTCTTTTCTTGTTTTAGACGATCATAATTTGGATCAAAATTGGAATCATTATTATTTTTAAATTGATCATTTTTTCTTCGTTCCACTGCAAGTTCATTGAGCATTAATTCATATTGATTTTCTAAAAATTTCAAATGTTCATTCGTTTTTATATATAATCGATGTTGATTATTGATTAGATTTTCCAATTGAAATGTTTTAATATTATATAATGTTAATGTTTTTGTATAATCCAATGATGATGATGGTTCATAAATGGCTAATGATGAATCACGTGATAATGCAATCAATGGATCGGATGAGTATTTTATTGTTTGTTCAGCAGTCATTAATTCAGTTTGATTATTCGGTGTACAATTATCAATTTGTTTGGTCATACGAAAACCACTGATTGGTTGTATCGAACGTATTGGATTCAATAGCCGTTTTATTTGCTCGGATTTTAATACAGCTATTGCAATTTCACGTGCCTGTAATTCACCTTCAAGCATTGATACTAATTTAAGTAGATCAGGTCTACTTAAATCAAGTTTTGAATTACGCTAGAAAAAAAAATTCAAATCAGATATTTTTCTCACACAAACAAAAAAAACAATTTATAATTACTTTCAATGTTTGATTAAAAAAAGACATGGTTGTAGAGTTTGTGTTGTCTAATCAAAAATTAAATTGAATTGGATTTTTCGTATATGGCCTTCCGAACGTTCGATGAATGGAAATGAAATGAAATGAATGGGATGTTGACATACAAACAAACAAACAAAATTTAAGAAGAAAGAAAAAAAACGTAAAACACATATGAAAAAAATAATAAACATAAAGTAAACAGAAGAAAAAAAAACAATTTTTTGTTGTTGTTTTTTGGTTGGTGGTTTAGATGGATCCTATCATGATGATGATGATGATGGGTCACATGAATGAGAATAATGTCGTTGTTGTTTTTGATGAAAAAACAATAAAATTGTATGGAACAGAATCCATCACCATCATCTTTATTACAGAATGCAAAATATTTTTTTTGTGGTGTATATATTGACGGATGACAATATCACAATTCACAATTTTCAGTCATTGAAGAAGAAGAGGAAAAAAATTGAGCTCAATATCTATTCCCCCCTTATTCTATTCTATTCTAAATGTTGATGATATATATTTGTTTGGCCCCTCCCATTTTGCTCCAACATTTATGAACAGGATCGATTTTTTTGAAGTTTTTTTTCCAATTAAAAGATGGCAGTGTAAAACAGATCAAAAATAAAAAAAAAACACATGGTCGATGCTCGAAGGAAGAACCAAACAGAATTCCACGTTTGATGAAATTATTTTTTATTGAATCTTTTTTAAGAATTTCAAATTATAACTTTAAAAATGACTAAAGGATTTCATAGTAAGTTTTTGATGTCAATATTAGAGAAAAACTAAAGATTTTTTTTTTACTTTGCAGAAAAACCAAGCAAACGAATCCCTGCCAAACGGCGATATAAAGTTGAAAAAAGAGTTCGTGATCATAATCGTAAATTACGAAAAGAATTGAAAAAGAAAACATCGACAAGAAATAAACGTCGAGATCCTGGAATACCGAATAGTTTACCATTTAAAGAACAAATTTTAAATGAAATTCAAGAACATAAGAAAATAGCCGAAGAACAAAAAGAGCTACAGAAATTACAATTGAAAAAAATTCGTCAAGCCAAACAACAGGAAACCGATGAAGATCGACGTAAACGTGATTTCGAAACATTATTATTGAATGCTGAAAAAAGAGCTGCCGATTTTGAAAATAAAACCGCAGTTGAAGAATATTTAATCAATAAAAATTCCGATTTATCAAATACAAAATCATTTTATAAAGATGTTGAAAAAGTTCTCGAATCATCCGATATAATTATCGAAGTTATTGATGCACGTGATCCACTTGGTACACGTTGTTTTGAAATTGAAGAAATCATCGCAAAAAATCATCCGGATAAAAAAATTATTTTATTAATGAACAAATGTGATTTGATACCCAAAACAAATCTTATTAAATGGTTAAAATATCTGAGAAATTATTTTATTACAGTACCATTCAAATCTTGTACACAAAATCAATCAAAAAATCTAAGTACAAGTAAAGTAAATATCCTGTACAGTTCAGATGAATTGATGAAATCAAATAAATGTCTTGGTTTGGATTTTCTAATGAAAATCTTGAACAATTATTGTCATAATCGAAATGTTAAAACATCAATAATGATCGGTATTGTTGGTTATCCAAATGTTGGTAAATCAAGTGTTATTAATAGTTTAAAACGTACATATGTTTGTAATGTTGGTCCAACACCAGGTCTGACGCGTTCAATGCAAACTGTATCGTTGGATAAAAAGATTAAATTAATTGATTCACCGGGTATTGTTTTTGCTAAAAATTCTTCTGGTAGCAGTTCATCCACGACCACAAATGCATCAATATTAGCTTTACGTAATGCAATTAATATTGATAAATTAGATGATCCAATATTACCGGTTCGAGCTATTTTGAATCGTATAAATCCCAAAGATTTATCCCGAATTTATGGCCTAACCGAATTCGAAACGGTTGAAGAATTTCTAAGATTAATTGCTAAACGTTTTGGAAAAATTAATAAAGGTGGTCGACTAAATCTAGAATCATCGGCAAAAAAAATTTTACAAGATTGGAATTCAGGAAAATTAAAATATTATACAATACCACCGGAAGAATTGAATTCAACAATTCAATTAAAATTTGTTGATAAATTAACGGAAAAAGAATTTACTGTCGATCAAATGTCCGAAGAAACCTATGAACAAATGATGGATGAAAATTTAGAACAATTTAACTTACCATCAGAAAATGATGAAGATTCTATTGCAATCAAAACATTGATTCAAATCGATGATGATGATGATCAAGATGTTTGTATGGAAACATCATCATCGGTTAAAAAGATGATGACCAATTCGAACGATAACGATGATGATGATGTTGAAATGAAAGAATCAGTATCGGGTATGCAATTGAATAAAAATATTCGAACACAATTTAAACGAATGAAAAAACAGCGTAAAAAAGATTCAAAATTATCGAATCAATTGGAAAAGATTAATCTTGAACATGCGGAGGATGAGGATTATGAATTTGATGATTATTTTTAGAAAATTTTTTTGTTATAAAAATTTAAATAAAATTTTCTTTTTTTGGAAAAGATTTGTTTTTTTGGTTGATTGAAACGAATTTTAATCAATTGAATTCTGATGGTGCTAAAATTTTATTTTATTTCTTTTGTTTGTTCTAAATCAATGTAACCACCATCTGAATCCAATCGATTATGATTCGTTTTTGGTTTTTTTTGATGGAAAAAAAAAGATTAATTCTCCATCCATCCATCATTGAATGAATCGGTTTGGTTTGACATTCGGTTATGAAGTGAGGAAGTGATGATGAAAACTAATTTTTCATTTCAAGAATACCATAATAACAGTACATTATATGACAAACACGGCAAAAAAGTTTTGTTTGTTTTCATGTTTTGTCATTCTAATTTTTTCTTCAATTCCTCATTCATTCATTACTGAGTGAATGAGGAATTCAAACAGAATAATAGTGGTGAAAAAAATAACCTACTTCAAACAAGAAAAAAACTTTATCAAATCACATAGGTGATGTATGTGTGTTTGAAACTTTTTTTTTTAGATACGGAAAATCTCGGAACAGGGTGACAATTTTTTTTTGTATTCTGATTTTTCGAATGAATCTTGATGATGATGATGAATATTTCTTCTTCTTTTTTATTCATTCATTTTCCAATTGCTAATAAGATTCTGTAAGATCATTCTTGGAATATTATCATATTGTTTGGTTGGTTGTTTGCATAGTATTCTTATTCAACAAAAAAAAAATGAGAATGGTGATACACACATACAATGGTAACTGGGAACTTTCATTCATTCATTCAGTCAGTCAATAGAGTTTGGGGAATTTTCAAACAAAAACGAAAGAAAGAGAATAACCGATGCATCGAGAAGAAGAAAAAAAAGTAAACATTAAACAAAACAAAAATCATTGAATTTGGAAAGAGAGTGGGAAAGTTACACACACAAACACACTTATTTTACCGAAACGAAAAAATTCAAATTTAAATTTTATTTTTGTCGATAAAATTGTAAACTTGAAAATTAGGAAAAGGAAATGATGATTTTGGGATGAAAATCTTGTTGTGTTTGAATGAGATGTCAAGTTCCTTTTGTTTCGAGCGGCCATTTCGAATGCATTGATAAAGATTGTGCGCAGGCGCAAATCAAACCTGCAAAAAAATTCACTGTTGATTTTTGTTTACAATCATCATTATTATTATTTGTTAAATTTTTAAAAGTTTTTTCAAAATTAAAACAACAAAAATGTTAAGCACGGATGAATCGAAAAAATGTATGGAAAAGGTGATTGATAATCTTAAAACACATGGTACATTTGATGAATTACGAAAACAATGTATGGCCGATGTCGATATAAAGGTAATTTTAATGATTGAATGTTTGTTTCACAATCAAATTCTTTTTTATCTCTCCATTTTTATATAGCCATCATATCGTAATCTATTACAAAGAGTTGAAGGATATGTTAAAAAATTTCTATATCAACAACATTGGAGTCCAAGATTGAATAAAAATCAGCTTCGAAATCGACTTCGAAATGAAATTAATGAGTAAGTGTTTACTTTTGTTTAGTTTGATTAATTGATGATAACCTTTTTTCTTTTGTTCACTAAACAGATCGGATATGATTCGTAATAATATTAAACATCTTATTGAACAAGTTGTAAATGAAAAAATTCAAATGGAATTTCGTATGAAAATCGATGAAGTATTGCATGAATATTTAGGAATCAAAATCGAAGAACCATTATCAAATAAAGATGAAACAACAAATGACCAGCACAAAACAGAAAATGATGATCAAATGATCGTTTCGAATAAAAATGATGATAATGTTGATTCGATTGTAAATAATCAACAACAACAACAACAAAATGATGAAGCAAACATTCCAGCAAAATTGGAAATTAAAACCGAAGAACAAGATTTCAATTCGAATTTAAATATTATCAATGAAAATGAAGATAATAATATGGATGTTGATATGGATATTGATATGGATATTGTTTGGCCAACACCACCAAAACTTGAAATTCCTACACCTGAACATAATGAAAATGAACAGGAAAATTCATTAGATTTAGATTCGATACAACAACAAAACATTGACGACCAACCGAATGAAATTGAAAATGTTGTCAAAAGTGATGATGAAATGATTGTCGAAAGTAATATTAAGGATGGTGATAATGATAATGTTGATGATCCAAGTAATTCCAACAATGTTTCGAAGAATGAAGATTCGGAAAAACAAACAGAAAATATTATCGATACGAATAATGATAAACAACAACAACTAGAACAAGAATCTAGTTTACCTGATGAATTATCATCAGCGATTATTGATGATAAAAAAGATAATAATAACGATGATGATAATCAAGAACAAAATAAAGGTGATGGTGATAAAATTGATGATCAAGATAATCAAGAAGATATATCGGATGTTTCATCCGTTCATACTAGTGATTTATCCGATTTTGATGATGAAATTTCTATTGAAGGTTCGGATTCGGATGAAGCAACCGCAACAACAACAAAGAAAAAAATTAGTTTAAAAGTTGTTAAAGAATTGGCTGCATCTATTACCGACATTAAAGATGATCATCATCCAACGATACAATCCTCATCATCTAAATCTCAAAAATCAATAAAACCAAATGTTGAACAAAGTAAAGATTCGGCTATTTCGAACAACAATGATAACAACAACAACAACAATAAACGTAAACGAAAGAAAAATCCAAAATTTTTATCATCAGAATTTTCATATGACAATAGTAGTGGCAGTAGTAATTCGAATAAAAAAACAAAAATCGATGAAACGATTCAGGCAAATAACAATGATGATAATGATAATGAAACTGCAATTACTCCATCGAGTAGTAAATCATCGTTGAAAATACGAAAACGTCTTCCGACAACAACCACAGCAGAATCAACACCAACAAGTCAATCAATGAAATCAACTGAATCAAAATTATTACGACAAAATTCAAAACAAAATTTACGAGAACAAACAGCGAAAAAATCTGATCAATCAACACCATCATCATCATCGTTGGCTAATACAAGTACCACGACGAATAAAACAGCGAATAATAATAATAATAAGAAAAATATAGCGAAAACAAATCGTAATGATTTATCAAATAAACGTTATGATTCATCTGATCTTTATAAACCAAGAAATCAACGATTATCATCAACACGTCGTGGTCGTGGACGATCATCCATTACAGATCCATTAACGCCAATGACACCGGAATCAAATAATTCTAATTGAACATTTTTTTACTTCAAATAATACTGATTTGTTTTAATCGATTCATTTTTTTTCTTTGCAAAAAGCAAAATACTTGAATAAATAAGATTTTTTGAAGGGAAAGAGATTAATTTGTCTGGGAGTGGAGAAAAAAAATTTGTCGTCGTCGTCGTTATCAGTGATTAAATTTTTTTGTTCATTCCTCTGGCTGTAATGTAATTGATAGATGAATTTGTTCCCATTCATATGTAATGGGCAAACTTTCCTGTAATTTTCAGTTTCAAAAAATGAAAATAATGATTAAAAGAAAAAAAAATTTCACATGGATTTTTTTCTGTTACCTTGTCTAAATAATCAATATTTTCCAATTCAGAAAGTATTGAATCTAATTGTTCATCAGGTATCAATATCTGTAGCCATGGTCCATGTAATGCATATGGTTGTTCACGATTAACATAGGCACCGGCAACTGCTGTCGTTACAAATGTAATGGCCAAATCACCTTGTATATTTTTATAAGTAAAATGTCTTCCGTGTTTTAATCGGCCTCTATATTATTAAATGAAAATTTTATCAAAATTAATCATAATTTTTTTCGATTTAAACTTGTTCACAAAACTTGACATACCTAATTGCCAATGGAAGTAAAACTCCAGCTTCATAATTGAATTTTAAATGAATATTATCGAAATATTTTGTTTGCATTAATTCAAACGGTTCATTATTACCGGTTTCACTGGCATATGACATCCGTGAATTACGATCATGTGAAACAGACATTGATGAATGGCGACTTGTTGTACGACAATTTTGTTCTGTTAACAAATTATTATTATCATTTTGATTATTGGCGGCGGAGGTAGAAGCATCATTATCTTCTTCCTTGTTGTTGGATGTCGTTGTTTTTTGTTCGTCATTGTTGTCATTCGTTTTTTCCTTTTTCAAATCATCATTATCTTCATCGATATCATGGTCGTCGTTTTTTTTCGAAGTTGAAAATGAACATCGTGCACTAACACCACTAAGATTTGATCCTTGTGTAGCAATACCATCATCAACAGCTTCTCTTAATTCGGGATCAATTTCGAATATTGTTTCACCACGTCTCATATCGGTAATCAGATATGCATTGCCAACATTCGCTACACTTTTCATTAGATCAATAACACCTAAACCATTCCATTGTTGTGCAGCTTGTAATTCTTCCAAACAAACACCAACAATTTGTATAAATGTTACCGAACCAAATACTGTCGTAACGGTTCCTAATTGTGAATCTTCAGTCATAAGCATATGTTGTATACGTGATTCACTATTATCCAATGAACAATGCCATGATACATGATCACCAGCACAAAGTATATTTCCTGTTTGAAATACATATTTAGCTAATGCTTGCATTACAGCTGCTGGCCATGTTGGTGGACTTGTTTCATCGGGTTCTTTTTTCAAACGAAATGTTAATTCAAATCCAAATCCACTTGGTGTTGATGCATCGCTTGCACTGTTGATTGTTTGTTGAAATCGTAAAATAATTTTGTTAAAATTTTAGAATAACATGATAATAATTACCGATGAACACGACCATCACCATGTAAATCACTAAGACCAAAACTAATATAATGCCAATGTGGTGGTATACCATTATCGTCATCACCTTTATTAAAATATAATGATATATAATCCAATGGATCTGGTCCGCCAAGCCTATTTGAATTGATTTTGATAACAATGTTTATTGATCATAAAATTTAAAATTTTACCAAAATTTAACAACAGCTGATACTTGTAATGGATTCGGTTGATCAGGATATATTCGTGCACAATAATTATATAATGCTTGTAATACTGGTGGTATCATTGGCGGTAACATAACTGGTTGCGGTTGTCTTATCATTAATGATGACATTGGTGATTGACCATTACCATTTACTGTTGATGCCATTAACAATTCATTTGGACTTAAATTATTAAAAGGTATATTATTTCTAATCTCCATTTTTTTCGTTTCGTTTAACGAGAGATAGAGATAGATAAAAGTGGAGAAACACTGACGTTGATAAATTGATAAAATGATGAATTTCAATTAATTTTTTTTTTATCGATCAACAACAGTATCGGACGTCATATGATCGACCAACTGTGTACCATGTATGAATAAAGATTTGTGATAAAGATAACCATATCTTTCGCGAAAAAAAAGATGAAATGTTTTAATTCACAGCCTGAAAAAAGCCTGTTGATAATTTATCGAACAAACAAACAAAAAAATACAGAAAGAGTAACATTACATTTCATTTATGAATGGTTCCATCGAACTTGTCCTCAATATTGTGATATTAATCCCCCCTTATCAAACATTGATGTTTTTGTTGCGTTGAAAAATTTTGTTATTTTGTTGGCTACGCGTTCGCCCATCATCATCATTAGAAATTATTCAATTTATGCCACAGACTGCTGTGTTGTGAATTTTTAATCGTTGGTCTTCCATTCATTCATTCATTTATTGTTAAGCCATAATATAACTATTGTGTGTTATCATTGCAAAAAAAGAAAGAAAACAAAGAGCGGTTTTTTCCTATATTCACATAAGGCAAAACAAACCATATTGATTTATTGAGTCAAAAATGATTGCTCCATTGTTATTACGTATACCATCATATTTGGTACATAGAATTCTACCATCATCATCGGGTAATTTTATTTTTTCAAAAAATTTTGTATCATTTACAACAAAAACATCAACAACCGCTATTATGGATAATGGTAATAATTTAGTTGGTAGAGAAATTGATCTTCTTGAAACAAATCCCGATTTAAGATTTCGTCTACCAGGTAATGTTGGTATTGTTAATGATAATTGGTTATTTAAAATAAGAAATTTGAATGAAAATTATCAAAATAAACAATTAACAAATGATAAACAATTGAAACAAAATCAAAATCAAAGTAATAAGAATATTATTCAAACAATTAGTCATGAAGAATTATTGAATCAATTATGTGATGATAAAGCAATGCCAAATCCACAATCATTGATTGAAGAACAACATGAAAATCTTCATTGTGAAGCACATGAATGTCCATTGTTATTGATAAAAGATTTTCAAGAATTATTTCCACATAATAATGTTAATCTTGCTAATGGTTTAACAGTACTGACTATAACGCATAAAACTGAAAATGATATGAGTGTTTGGTCGAAAGAAGTAAATCAAGAACGTGAATTGTTATTGGAAAAATTTGTTTCCACTGCACAACGTATGTGTGTTTATCTGAAAGATAATGGTTATTGGGCCGATTTTGTTGATCCATCTTCTGGTCGTCCGTATTATGTAAGAATTCTCGAAATTTAATGATGATTTTTTATATTAATTCATTTCTCCAAAAATAGGGTGACTATACACCGGCAACATTTTTCGAAACTGATGAACGTTATCGTCGTTTTGGATTCGAAATTGAAGATCTTGGTTGTTGTAAAGTTGTTTCACATAAACGTTGGGGTACAAATGCATTTGTTGGTGCATTATTTACAAATGCCACACATCATTCGGATGTTGTACAACGTTTAGTTATTACATTAGATGATTAATTTAAAAATTAAAAGAAACATGAAAAAGTCTTTATCATTCATTCATTAATAATTAATATTATAAATCCTATGAATCTAAAAAAAAGAATTTCTTTATATTTTAAAGCTATAAAATATTTATCTATGTGTGTTTAAAACATAAATGTGATTAATAATCATCCCTTTGTTTCGTTTTTTTTCGCCCGAACAAAACTTATTGTAAATTAAAATTAAAAAATATTTTTGTCAATAAAAAAAATTATATTCGAAAACGTCGTCTATGAATATGATCGAAACGCAATAAACAATGTTTATTTGCATATTCGAATGTTTTTTTCTTGTTGAAGTTTTGTATTCTGATTTCATCATTGATTTATTAAGAAAAGAATTGAAATTTTCATTTTTTAAACTTAATAATAATAATAACTTTAAAATTTCAAAAATGATTGAAATTACCTGCAATGATCGGCTGGGTAAAAAGGTTCGAATCAAATGTAATCCAGGTATGTTTTTGTTTTTTCGTTTTTTCCCCCTCGAAATCAAATTGAAGAGAAAAAATTATGATTTCTAATTGACTGTAACTAATATTTTCTTTGTTTTGTCGACAAAACGACAACTGTAAAACTAGAAAAATTAGTCTTCCGATTTCTCTTGTTGAAATTTATTCATTTTTTTCTAACTTTCTCTGTCTTTTTTTCTATTATCTACATTGATAAATAGATGACACAATTGGTGATCTGAAAAAATTAATTGCCGCACAAACCGGTACACATTGGGAAAAAATTGTATTGAAAAAATGGTATACAATCTACAAAGATCATATAACATTGGAAGATTATGAAATAAAAGATGGAATGAATTTGGAATTATATTATCAATGAACAAAACCAAATTTTTTTTTCTCCTTTAAATGGAATATCATAAGACCAATAATAATAATGATGATGATGCTTGTTTCCTTGCCCAAAACAACAACATTTTTGTCAATTTAAATAAAAAAATCTTGTCATTTTTTTCCTATTTTGTATCCGAAACAACAACAACAAACAAACAAAAAAATACAAATTTCCTATTTGTATTTATTTCTTGTCGTCGTTTTTTTTTGTTGTTGTTGTTAAATGATTTTTCTTTTTTCTTTTTTTTCCCGAAAAAAATAAAAATATCTGTCAAATATATTTGTGTGTGACAAGTAAGAAAGAAAACGAAGAAAAAAGACTTTACCACAAATCAAATTGTCAATAATGATGATGATAATTCCGTAGAAATGTAAATATCCATTATGGTTTGATGATGATGATAATCCCATTCAAGATGAAAATTGTGTGTGCGGATTGAAAAAAAGTTTGAATGTAAATGGATGTGGAGGATCGGATCGGATCGGATGTTTTTTTCTGATAAAAGTCCATAGGTAAAAATCGATTAATGTAAAACGGAAAAACTAAAACTAAAAATAGTTTTTTTCCGTACACACCATACCATCATCATTACAATCAGCATTTTTTTAAATATCCAATCGACAAGAGGATATTGCATTTGTTTGTTTTGTTTTGTTTCGGATTTGGTGTTTCTCTCGATGTGATAATTTCTCGAAGAAATTTTCATCAGGATTTTTTTCTTTTAAAAACTTTTATCCATTCATGATTCAATAATGTGATCAATGTGATAATATCATTGTTGTTTTTGTTGTTGTTGTTTTTTCCGCCTTTAGATTTTATTTATCTTTAGGGCAAATAATGAATCCTATCTATAGAAAGAAAAGCGTGTGTATAATCTATTTTAAATCTCTTTATTTCTTTATTTCTTTCTTTCTAAAACTGAAAGAAAAAAAAATTTCATTGAATAATCGCTTATCCGGATTTTCTTTCGTTTCGGGAATGGGACTAATTAACTTTTTGTTTTGTTTTGTTTTACTAAATAGCGTCATTATACCGGTTATGCTTTTTTGTGTTTCGTTGATTAATATTTATCGGGCTCCGGATATATTAGACATTTTTGGAGAAATGAAATATTGATCGATTGCAATGGATAAAATAGACGATGATGATGATGATGATTTGAAACATCAAAAAAAACATAGGATTTTTTCCAATATAAGATGTATTTTTCAATGTAACATTGACCAATATGTTGTGTGTGTGTGTTTATGTGTGTGGGTTGTGTGTGGAAAAAGAAAATATTTTTAGATTTTTCATTTTGATTTTCTTCTTCTAACCACTATCGACCATCGTCCAACTAACCATCATCATCATCATCGACCAAAACAAAAATAAATGAAGAGAAACAATCT